AAGGCAAAGAGGAACTAAAGAGCCTCTTGATGAAAGTGAAAGAGAAGAGTGAAAAATTTGGTTTAAAACTCAACATTCAGAAAACTAAGATCCATGGCATCTGGTCCCATCACTTCATGGCAAATAGGTGGGGAAACAGTGACAGACTTTATATTTTGGGGCTCCAAAATCATTTCAGATGGTGGTGACTGCAGCCAAGACACTTGCTCCTTGGAAGAAAAGTTATGACCAACCTAGACAGCATATTAAAAAGCAGAGACATTACTTTGCCAACAAAGGTCCAGCTAGTCAAAGCTATTGTTTTACCAGTAGTCATGTATGGATATGAGAGTTGGACTATAAAGAAAGCTGAGTGCTGAAGAATTGATGCTTTTGAACTGTGGTGTTGGAGAAGACTCTTGAGAGCCTCTTGGAATGCAAGGAGATCCAACCAGTCCATCCTAAAGAAGTCAGTCCTGAATGTTCATTGGAAAGACTGATGTTGAAGCTGAAACTCCAATACTTTGGCCACCTGACGTGAAGAACTGAGTCATTGGAGAATACCCTGATGCTGGGAAAAATTGTAGGCAGGAGGAGAAGGGGATGACAGAGGATGAGATGGTTTGATGGCATCATCAACTCAATGGACATGAGTTTGAGTAAACTCCGGGAGTTGGTGATGGACAGGGAGGCCTGGCGTGCTGCAGTCCATGGAGTCGCTAAGAGTTGGACACAACTGAGCAACTGAACTGAACTGAATATTCTATTGTATTTACATTTGATTCTTGTAGAACATGGTTTGAACTGTGTATGTCCACTTATGTGCAGATTTTTTTTCAGTAGTGAATATTTCTGAACTTCACGATCACTGCTGGTTGAATACATGGATGCAGAGGAACCTTAGATACTGAGAGCCACATATAAGTTATATGTGAATTTTTGACGGTACCGATTGTTGGCATCCTTAACCCCCATATTATTCAAGGATCACCTGTATATACCATATTTTGTTTATTCATTCACAGTTATTTATTCTAACACTGTTCATCACTAGACACTTGGGTTGTTACCATCTTCTGGTTTTTGTGAATAATGCTGCTGTTTATATAGACATACAAATATCTGTTCCAGTCCCTGCTTTCAGTTCATTTTGGTGTATACCCAGAAGGGGATTGTTGGATTGTATGTGGCGCTAGTCGTGAAGAACCCATCTGCCAATGCTGGAGACTTAAGGGATGTGGGTTTGATCTCTCAGTCAGGAAGATCCCCTAGAGGGAGGGCCTGGCAACCCACTCCAGTATTGCCTTGAGAATCCTCATGGACAGAGGAGCCTGGCAGGCTATAGTCTATAGGGTCACAAAGAGTCTTGACATGACTGAAGTGACTTGGCACATGCATGGTAATTTTATCGTTCATTTTTTGAGGAACTGCCATACTCTTTTCCATAGTGGCTATACCATTTACATTCCCACCAGCAATGCACAAGAATTCCAGTTTCTCCACATTCTTAGCCACACTTGTTTTCTATTTTTGTTTTGTTTTTGTTAGTAGTAGCCATCCTAATGGGTGTGAAATGGTTTCTCATTGTGGTTTTAATTTGCATTTCTCTGATGGTTAGTGATGTTAAGCATCTTTTCAGGTGCTTATTGGCTGTTTGTGTATCTCTTTTTAGAGAAATGTCTATTCAAGTCCTTTGCCCATTTTAAAATCAGACTTATGTTTTTGTTGAGTTGTAGGAGTTGTTTATTCTGAGTATTGACTCCTTATCAGAAGTATTGGGTTGGCCAAAAAGTTTTTTTGGTTTTGTTCAGGTTTTCCTGTAAGATGGTGCAGCAAAACCTGAATGAACTTTTTGGCCAGTCCAATGTTATTTGCAAATATTTTTTCTCATTTTGCGAGTTGGCATTTTATTCTAGTGTTTTTCAATGCACAAAAGTTTGAATTCTAATAAAGTCAAATTTATATATTTTTTTCTTTTGTTGCTTATGCTTTCGATGTCAAATCCAATGTCATGAAGCTTTTGCCTTATGTTTTCTTCTAAGAGTTTTATAGTTTTAGCTCTTACCTTTAGAATTTTGATCCATTTTAAATTAACTTTTGTATGTGGTATAGGTAAGCATCCAACTTCATTTTTTTATATGTATACACCTAGTTTTCCCAACATTATTTGTTGAACAGAGCTTGTTCTTTTCCCATTGAATGATCTTGGCATGCTTGTTGAAAATAATTTGACTGTGGTTAAGCAGTATTATTTCTGGGGTATTCATTCTAATCCATTAGTCTATATGTCTTTAATGCCAGTACCACACAATTTTGATTACTTTGGCTTTGTAGTCACCTTTGAAATCAGGAAATGTGAGAGCTTTAACAAGATTGTTTTGGCTATGTGGGATCTCCTGAGGGTCTGAACTTTAGGATGAATTCTAGCAAATTGATTCAGTACATACATACTTTTTCATTATAGGTTATTACAAGATTTTGAATATAGTTCCCTGTGATATACAGTAGAACCTAGTTGTGTATCTATTTTATATATAGTGGTATGTATCTGCTAGTCCCAAACTCCCAATTTACTCCTCACCCCCTGCCCCTTTGGTAACCATTGGTTCGTTTTCTGTCTTTGAGCCTGTTTCCATTTTTAAAATAAGTCCATTTATATAATATTTTAGATTCCACATGTAAGTGATATCACACTATATTTGTCTTTTCTGACTTTGCTTCTTTTAGTGTGATAATTTCTGGGTCCATCTGTGTTGTTGTAGATGACCTTATTTAATTCTTTTGTAAGTCTGAGTAGTATTCGATTGTGTGTGTGTGTATGTATGTATATATATATATATATCACAATCCATTCGTCTGTTGATGAGCATGTGTTGTTTCCATTTCTATTTCTGCAAAAAAAGTCATTGGGGTTTTGATAGAGATTGCATTAAATCTGTAGACCACTTTGTATAGTATTGACATCTTAACAATATTAAGTCTTCCAGTCTGTGAACACAGGATATTTTCCTAGTAATTTCTGTCTTCCGTTTCCTTCACAACTTGTATAATATTCAGTGTATAATTCTTTTGCCTTCTTGCTTTATTCCTATTTTATTCTTTTGGATGCTACTATACATGGAATTATTTTCTTAATTTTCTTTTTAAATTGTTCATTGTTAGCGTATAGACATAAAGTTGATTTTTTGTGTTGACTTTTTATTCTGGTACTTTCTGAATTCATTTATTGTAATGGGTTTTTTTTTTTTTTTGGTGGACTCTTTAGGGTTTTCTGTGTTTCAGATCATGTTATCTGCAAAGAGATAATTTTACTTCTTCCTTTCCAACTTGAATGCCTTTTATTTCTTCTTCTTGCTTAATTGCTCAGGCTAGGACTTCCAGTACTATATAGAACAGAAATGGTGAATGCGATTATCTTTGCATGGTTCCTGATCTTAGAGGAAAGGTTTTCAGTCTTTTAATGTTGAATATGATGTTTTCATAGATGGCTTTTGTTATGTTGAAGTAGTTTCCTTCTATTCCTAGTTTGAGTGTTTTTATCTTGAAAGGGCATTGAACTTTGTCAGATGCTTTCTCTGCACTGATTGAGATTGTCATGTGGTGTTTGTTTGTTTGTTTTTCCTTTTATTTTGTCAAGGTAGTGTATTACAGTTTTTTTTTTCATATGTTGAACCATTCCTGCATTCCAGGAATAATCCTACTTGGTAATGGTGTATAATCCTTTTAATATGCTGCTTAGAATTTAGTTTGCTAAACTCAAGTTTGTTGCATTTTTTCATCATTGTTTAAATGATGGGATATCGGTTTGTGGTTCTCTTTGCTTGTGTTGTCTGGTTTGGGTACTAGGGTAATGCTAACCTTATAGAATGTCTTAGGAGAGATACATGTGATTCTTTTATATCGTGCAACGTTGAAAATTTCAGCCATTCTAGTTTTAAGTCACTTGACTATAGATCTCCTGCCTGGCTCAGGGTGGGGCTGAGGCAGAGAATAAACTCTGGGTGGTTACTGAGAGATGGTATGGTACCCAGAAGCTGAGTCTCCTTTTTTCCCCGAGGGTCTCTAAGTCTGTGCAAACTTGACACTATGGGTAGGAAAACATGTGCTTGGATGCGCGCCCCTTCTGAAAGTAGTGTCTTAATATTTTGCAGATAGATGGGGATAGGGCTTCTCACTGAACTTTATAAAAAGTGTATTAATAATAATGATGGTGCTGCTGATAATGACCTTTCAAAGGACCTAGAGGGATGGAAGCCATGGTTGTTCATTTGCTTAGTTGTGTCTGACTCTTTGCAACCCCATGGACTGCAGCATGCCAGGCTTCCCTGTCCTTTACCATTTTCTGGAGCTTGCTCAAACTCATGTCCTTTGAGTTTGTGATGCCATCCAACCATCTCGTCCTCTGTCGTCTCCTCCTCCTGCCTTCAGTCTTTCCCAGCATCAGAGTCTTTTAGGAAAACCAGGCTAGTGATAGTTCACTGAAGACAAGAGAGTATTCAGGATTTACATTCCCTTGCATAAATCTTGGGGGTATATATTATTTCTTAACAAATTCCTGATTATGCTGAGTTTGCAGTCTCCCATATTACATGAATGCCTAAGTAATTAAGCCATCTGAAATCCTGAATTATCATTGATCGTTTAAGAATCTTAATTTTAATTCATGGTTCTGTTCAGCATCTTTAATATTGGCCCCTTCCTGATTATCATTTTCATCTAAACCTGTATGTAAACTTAGTTTTACAAAGATTGAATTCTTTTACTTATTACATATCCTTAAATGCATGCAAGTATAAACAATATTTTCCCCATTTTACGCTGATTTTACTTGTTACAGTTTTTGCATTTATGATGTATCATTGTTCCTGGACCTTTTACCCATTTAAAAACAGCCTCCCTACTGAAGTTCTTAAATGAGACAGCTTCATAGAAATTGTAAGGCTAGCTTTGTGTACAATATTGTTAGAACAGCATGTCTTAGATGTACATATTGTAATTTATTTTTTAAAAATTTCTTACAGGCAAAATGTGAACATTATAAGAAAAAACGAATGGAGCAACAAGAGACTATTGCTGCTTTGCAGAAGGATATCTATAGGTTAACACAGGAAGAAGAAGAACGCATTATCACTCAAAATAGAGTGTTTTCTTATCTCTGCAAAAGAGTTCCTCATACCGTCTTGGATAAACAGTAATGTTTGCTACATAAATTGATATGTTGCTAGACTCTTCATTTTTTAAAAAATAGATTTCATCTTGGGTATGGTTTTATCTCTTAAACTGGTGGAATCTTCCTCTTCCTCTTCTCTGCCCTTTTTTTTGTTTGTTTTAATGTCATTAACTTGTTGAAGAAAACTATTGGTTGTCCTGGAGAGGTACATGCTAGATTTGCCTATTTGCTTCCTTATTATGTTGTTTAATTTATTCTTCTGTCTCCTGTGTTCCCTCTAAACTGGAAGTTAAATCTAAATTCAGATGCAAGTATTTTTGGTGACATACTTCATAGGTGATAATTTATTCTTCTAATAATAACATATATGTCTAGTAGAGCTTCTCTCAGGGATGCTAAGATGGTTCAGGGGTTTAAATAGCAACAATCTGATCCTTCTCCTATAAAATTTCCCATCCTCTTCTCATCTGATGGTTTTGCTCATTGATCTTGTTTTCAATTCTGTTATCCCTTTTTTTCCCTTTTCTTTTTTTCTTGCTGGAGTTCTTCCATTAAGAAAAAGAACCTTTCCTATTGAGTAGGGACTATCTGGTTGCCCTGTATGGTTTGTTACAGGGAAGGTAAGAGCAGTGCTCAGTTCCTTCATTTTAACTCTTATTTTTTAGAGTAAGCAGTTAATGATCAGTTGTAATAGTCTAGTTGGGAAATAACACAGATCTATAAAGAAAAGAAAGAGATACTGCAGAGATGGACAGGAATTGTCTATACCAATTGACTGTAGATGTTGAAAGAAGGAGAGAAGTCAAAGATAGCCAGATTTCAAGCTAGATTTGGAGAAAGGGACAGGAGGAGGATGGATTTATCTATGAATATGTACTTAGACATCTTCTGTCAGTTACATAGAGATATCATGCCAGTTGTTGTTTAGTTGCAAAGGTATGTCTGACTCTTTGCGACTCCGCGGCCCTCCAGTTTCCTCTGTCTATGGGATTTCCTAGGCAAGAACACTGGGGTGGGTGACAATTTTCTTCTCCAGGGGATCTTCCTGACCCAGGGATCAAATCCACATCTCCTGCATTGCAGGTGGATTCTTTACTTCTGAGCCACTGGGGAAGCCCCATCAGACCTATAGTTAGAAAGGCCCAACTCCATAGAGCTTTAAAGTTTAGACAGAGAAAGAAAAGGCAGAAGAGGAGTTACTTTTGGGTGTCAGGCTAACTGAGGAACAAGAATGTTTGAAGGGGAGGGTGGTGAGAAGTTTTATATGCCACCTCATCGGTTTGTGTTTGTCTTCTTACTGTCTTATTTGCTCAGTTGCTGGTTTGACACATAGTAAGTCTTCCTTATAAGTTTATTGACGGTAGAGGTAATAGTCATTCAGAATGAATGAAGTTTGTCATGCTGGAAAAATAGAAATGGGATAGTAGCATTGGGGAAGGAGGGAGGTGAGAGGGTGTGTAAAGTATATAAAGGAAATTAAAGCATATTTGCAGAATAATATGAAAGCTGTTGGCTTGGGGAAAGTTGAAGGGAAAGAATAATGCAGAAAGTTATGATGTTAAAAGCACAACTGGTTGAATTAGTTCTGAAAAAGGAGATGGGTGAGTAATTTTCCCAAGACAAGAGCGAAATACTAAAAATTATTGCTTTAAAAAGAATAGTATGTGAAAGTGTAGTGTTATTTTATTTTTCTTTGAGGATTTTTTTTAAATTAGAAAAGCACTGCATGCCTACAAAAATTCAAACAATATAAAAGTATATAAAGTAATGTGTTATAAACCTGCTTACTTCTCCTAATTCCATATCCTGCTAACCACTTTTACAGTTTGGTTTATGTTCTTCCAAGTGTTTCACAGCAATAGTGCTGTTGACTTTTTAGGTGGGACCATTCTTCATTGTAGGGCATGATGAGCGTTCATTTGTTCATTAATGAACTTTAAAGCATCCTTGCTCCCTCCCCAGCTATTCAGTGTGACAACCAGTACCATCCCCCAGTTCGGGTAATATTATCCCTCAGTTGAGAAGTCATATAGTTCATTTTCAGTACATAGACTCATATATACACCTACTTTCTTCAAAAAAATAGTTATACATTTGTCTTTGCAACACTAATTTTTTCCTACAAATTGTTTACATTATCTCTTCTAATGCCTCCTCATTTTCTATAATATGGATGTGCCATTATTTAACTTTTCCCTTGTTGAAGAATGTTTAGATTGTGTCTCAGTTTTCACTCATAATGCATTGAACAACTTTGTTCATCTTAAGTTATAGCCTTGGGCAAATGTTTCTGTGGGAGTGATTATTAAAGGTAGACCTGTTTGATCAAGGAGAATCTATATTTAATATGTTGAGATTTAATGTCTGTGGTTATTTTAAAATGTATACATTAAAATTAAAATATATGGGATACTTCTGGCAAAAATCACTTAAATTTTTTTATGAATTTGCAGATATTTATCAGTATAATTTGAAATTGAATAGAGATAATAGTAAATGTTCCAATACCACATTTTGAAAATAACTCATCTGTTTTCTAGGTTGCTTTGCCTTATTGATTACTATGAATCTAAAATTAGAAAATTTCATAAACAAAGGTATGACTTGTCCTGTATTAAATTTTTGAAAGTAATTATCAAGTTGTGAATTACAACAAAAGCTTTTATGGCCTTTTGAAACATTAAATACTTTTGAAAATCTACTGGATATGTGTATAATTTACATAATATGTAACTATAAATTCCTTTTTATAAAGAATATTTAAGACTGTACTTTACCACTTATGTTGAAATTCATTGTTGCATTTATATTAAAATATGTATATCTAATAATCACTAACTATTGGTCACAGATGAAATAGTATTTTTATTTTGTTGAGATATTATGATTTGTTCTACTGATGTCATCTAGCCACTAGATAGTTACTGAGTATATCAACACAGTGTGTAGGATTGGATTAACTTCCTGCCAAAGTACAGCCTAATTAATTAGTTTGCAAATTTATGAGATAAAGATAAAACATTATAGTGCAAAATCAAGTATATAGAATAAAGCACAGTTATCATCTGATTAAAGAAATAGGGTAAAATTTTAAATAATGGTATTTGACTAACCAAAAATTGCTCAAAGATATCTAAGGCCAAATAATCTAAAGTGCTTTAATGTAAATATCTAAGGCCTTTAATATAAAGGCTATTTTGTTTCACTGTTTATAAATGGAACAGTTCTTTAAACAAATATTTACCTAAGCACCTACTTTCTGTTGTGTTCTGTTTTTAGTACTGAACAGATAAAATAGATAAACATTAAGTAACTTCAGCGACGTTCTCTTTTCAAATGAAGCTGTCTTTTGAGATGGTAGACATGGTGTTAGATTCTGTAGAGATAGGAAAATGTTGTGAACATGATTCTCACCTCCTAGGAGTTTGCAATTTAGTAAAGGAGATTAAACGTAAACACATTAATAGTTAAGGAAAATAATGTGAGACTTAAAAGAGCCTAATATATAGTGTCACAATAAAAGTAATTACTTAAAGCTGTACAGTCAGTCAGTAATACAGGAGTTGATAACAGGAACAAATTGGTTTTGGATGGGGTAACCAGGGAAGCCATTACAAAACAGATGGGGGTTGTGGTTGAGCTTGAATAAGTACAATTTGGGAAAGCAGAAAGGAAAAAAAAAAAAAGACTGCTTGTATGCTATGAGCAAAAGTTCATAGATGGAAAAGAGTAGGCTTTTTAATGGCACTATAATTAAGCCAATTTCTCTGAACTTTAAGGGATTTGTTGATATATTCATAGATAGAGGTAGTAACCTATGGAGAACAGTCATTCCCATGGAGGACCAAGAGTAAGCTATAAATGAACAACAAGACATCATTGGCCTTGGAAAGAAGGAAGGTACTGTTTCCTTTGATACAGAAAACCTGGGTGATGGAGTTGTAAGTATGTATATTAGGGTTCTAGCAAGAAACAGAACCAGTAGAATGTACACTTATATACAGAGAGTGAATTGTCTTAAAGAAATAGGTTCATGTGATTGTGAAGCTGGCAAGTCTGAAATCTGTGAGGCTGGCATGCAAGCTGGAGACCCAGGGAAGAGTTGATGTTGCAGTGTTGAGGCTGAAGGCAATCTGGAGGCAGAATACCTCTCTTCTTGGAGGTTTCAGTCTTTCCTTCTAAGGTCTTTAATTGCACAGGGCTCACAGAGTTGGACATGACTGAAGCGACTCGGCATGCATGCATGCATGCACCCACATTGTGAAGGGTAATCTGCTTTATTCAAAGTCTATTGATTTAAATGTTTGTCACATTTAAAAAATAACCTCATGGCAGTGTTTAGACTGGTGTTTAACCAAATAGCAGGGCACCATAGTCTAACCAAGTTCACACTAAAATGAACAATCACAGTATGTCAGAGTAAAGAGAAGCAAAATTAAGAATTTCATAGCTTGAGAGGTTATAGATTGGTATGCTCACAGAAAATCAAAACTGAGTAAAGCAGGTTAGGTGGGAACTGTGCCAAACTGGAGAGCTGTCTTAAGAGGCCATTTATTATATACTCTAGCCAGTTGATGCCATGCAGTAATGGGAGCCCAATGGCTAAATCTGCTTTTTTGAGAAGTTAGAAGGTTAGGTTTATAAATGAAAGCAGATTTTTAATGTTTGCAATTAAAACTGAGTGCTCTTAAAAATATTATATGGTCCAGACTGAATATTATCTGCAACCTTTACTCTATATCTTTAATAAATTCTAATGTAGATTCAGGAGTTGTATGACTTTTTTCCTATAAAGGGCCAGACTGTATTTTAGGCATTTTAGTCTGTATAGTCTCTCACAACTGCTCAACTCTGTTACAGCATGAAATCAGCCATAGACAGTAAGTAAATGAATTGACATGTCCATTTTCCATAAAACATTAATGAAAAAAAAAAACCTGCTGGCTGTGGTCCACAGGCAGCAGATTGCTGACCCCCAATCTAGTTGATGAAGAGAGCATTTGGGATTTGAAGTCAGAGTAGAGAAGATTTAGTGTAGCCGTCTTTGAAATGTCTCAGGTAGAATGTGGTGTGAGAGATTGCCTCTGAAGTTATGTAAACTGGGGTCCTCTAACTAAAAATAATAAAAGGACTGAGGCTGTTGCAGGTGTTGTTGAATTTGGTTGTCATGAGTTTATAGTGAACATCTGGGATTGAGGAATGAAATCTTGAGGGAAAAGAATTACTTTTTTGCTTAACAATCCCATCATCATTGGACTAACTAAAGTGAAGTACTTTGGCTTGTACAAATTATGCCTAGGTCAGATACTTGGATTGAATGTCTCCCAGTTCAGTTCAGTTCAATTCAGTCGCTCAGTCGTGTCCGACTCTTTGCAACCCCATGAACCGCAGCACGCCAGAGCTCCCTGTCCATCACCAACTCCCAGAGTCCACCCAAACCCATGTCCATTGAGTCGGAGATGCCATCCAACCATCTCATCCTCTGTCATCCCCTTCTCCTGCCCTCAATCTTTCCCAGCATCAGGGTCTTTTCAAATGAGTCAGCTCTAAAGGGAGAAAAGATACAGGAAGAAAATAGGGACTGTGTTATACACAATATTCTCACAGATGAAAAAGTAGAAGTCATTTATACTTAGCAGTGATGAAGAGTCTGTCCTGAGGAGAGGGTTTTTCATAGTTCATTGAATGAACAAAACTTAACAGTCTCTTTTCTAAGAGTAAATAACTTGATAGAGAGATTGTAGCAACTTCAAGGTAGATTTTGAGATGTACTAGTAGGATATTTGGAGAAGGCAATGGTAACCCACTCCAGTACTCTTTCCCGGAAAATCCCATGGGCAGAGGAGCCTGGTGGGCTGCAGTCCATGGGGTCGCGAAGAGTCAGACATGACTGAGCGACTTCACTTTCACTTTTCACTTTTATGCATTGGAGAAGGAAATGGCAACACACTCCAGTCTTCTTGCCTGGACAATCCCAGGGACAGCGGAGCCTGGTGGGCTTCCATCTAAGGGGTCGCACAGAGTTCGACACAACTGAAGCGACTTAGCAGCAGCAGCAGCAGGAGGATATTAGTATCACCTGAAGAAGCAGGCGAACTCTAAAAAGAGGGTGTAAGAATTAACTGACAAGTATTATATTACTTGAAAGAAGTGAAAGAGAAGAGAAAATGAAGGAAGATGGGTTATGATTTGGAGGTCTAAGTGGGATAAATAGGAGGCACGGGAGAAGGATGTATATACCTGTAGAGCTCAGGGAGCAAGACAAAGGAAGAAGACAGATGGGACTTGGGCCTCTTGCAGAGGTAGAAGCACTCTGCTTAACACCCTTTTTTAAAGGGCAGTGTTGTCCAAAGTTTTTCTCATCATGAAACACAGAAAGTGATGTTTGTATACCACACTGGGGTAATTGGCTCAAGAACTCTGGCCAGTTGTCTTGAGTGCTTGGCATATTTGTAATATCTTGGCACAGCACACCTATGGCACACCATCTGGACCCTCTACTTTAGGGCACAGGCTTGAGAAGGCCTCCAGAGAGCTTGTGAAAGGCAGTTTCTGGATACTATGGACTGGTTTTCCTTTCTGCCTCCATACATGAGAAAACTGGGAAAGCAGAGGAAGCCGCACTCAAGGCAGCAGAAATTTGAATGCAAGTATTAAGCAGTTGGAAGTCTTAGAAAACTGCAAACATGCTACAATTTCTGAAACAGAGGAAAAGTAAGTTTTAAAATGATAGGTTCTCAGCTCTTACTTTACCTATTTTTCTTTACCCAGTGTTAATATATCAACATACATTACATGGAATATATTTGCTAGCTTTTTCTATTAGTATTTCCCTGGCTTGGTAGATAGGATTAAAGAACCAAGAAAAGTAACATAGGAATAACAACTACAAGACTCAGATTGAGTTTCTTCTGAGATGCTGGAGACATTTGAAAAGTTACCCCAGGGAAAATAGCTATATAATGAATTAGTAAAGTGAAGTCTCCTTGTCTAATTCCATCCTTCTCTTTAGATAGAAAATTCTTAAGTGGTGTTGCGAAATGGGAGCAGGTAACTTTGAGGTTCACCTCTGATTGAACATGATTCGGATTAGGGAAGAAAATAAAATACAAGATTTCTCTAGTTTTGCTCTTTCTCTGTACCACCAAGAAGCATACTGTTCAACACTGGGTCCCTCCTGGGGCTTCTGGAAGCCATTCAAGAAAGGGTGGGAGGAATTTGGCTGTGGAGATCCCATGTCCAAATGAGAATTGTGGACATTTAAAATTATGTTTTTACTTCAAGAAAACCACAAAATCTGTCAATGCTAAATAAAGGACTCTAGGAAAATAAAGTGAGGATTCTTTACTGAAGCTCATTTCCTTTTAGGTCTGCATAAATTTAAAATTGGTCTCCTCTACTATATATATGTGTTAGGTTTCTCTTGAGAGAAAAAGATAGCCATAATGGCAGGTATTTTAGAGTGTATATAGGGAATGATCTGAATACACACGCTTTGAAGCCAGAGAGATTTCAGTTTGAATCTCATCAGTACTGCTTACTATTTGAGAGACTTTGAGCAAATTTAAATAACTTCTGTAAATGTTCCTTACCTAATAAATTGAAATAGTTTATATAATACATCTATCTTGTTGTTTAGTGGCTAAGTCGTGTCCAACTCTTTGCGACCCCATGGACTGTAGCCAGCCAGGCTCCTCTGTCCATGGGGTTATCCAGGCAAGATTACTGGAGTGGGTTGCCGTTTCCTTCTCCATACATCTATCTTAGTACTTTTTATATAGAAGCTACCCAATATCCTTCTTTGGTCATGGTCATTTGTTAAAGACTAGCATGTTTTAGAAGGTCTGAGAGAAAGGTTAGTACAGCTGTCTCGAATAGAAATGTCATGAAAACCACATATATAATTTTGCATTTTTCATGTAGCCAAGTTCGAAAGTAAAAAGAAACCAGTGAACTACATTTTCATATATTTTATTTAATATCTGAAATATTGCCATTTCAACATGTAATCAATGATATTATTAGATACTTCACATTATTTTTTTCATTCTAAACCATTGAAATTTGGTATTTTAATTTATAGCACACCGCAATTCAAACACTAAATTTTCTTTTTTTTTTTTAAACACTAAATTTTCATCAGAGGTGTTTGGTCTGTATTTAGATTTCATGAAGTCTAGTTCAAAAATAGACTTATATACCCAGATTATTCTATACATACCTCAAAGTTCTCTAGCAACTAAGTCAAGTACAAAAATTTTTTTCCTTTAATATTTACATCTACATTTATACAACTGACTCCTCTTTTTCAGAATAATTGGTTTGACTGAATTAAGGATTAAAAACTATACACAACTTAAATTCACTAACTTCTATTTAAGTCAGAAGGATGTTGCAAAATTGAAAAGCAACTCTAAATCTGTCAATAGCAAGAAACTTCAAACTTTGAAGTTTTCTTGTAGTTTTACAACCAATTTATTTACACTGTGGATTAAAACTAAAATCTCCTATATATTATTAATATGAGAAAAACATGTATGAAGACAATATTGATTTGTGTTATAAAGTTTCATTTCAATGTAAATTCTCATAACCTATTAGCTAGACACAAAGATGCCTTTTTTTCTTTGGAGCTTCAAATTTTGCTTACTCATATATAGAGTGATACGAGTGAGAAGGCTTCCCTGGTAGCTCAGTTGGTAAAGAGTCTGCCTGCAGTGCAGGAGACCCAGGTTTGATCCCTGGGTCAGGAAGATTCCCTGGAGAAGGAAATGGCAAACCACTCCATTATTGCCTGCAAAATCCCATGGACAGAGGAGCCTGGTGGGCTACTGTCCATGGGTCACTTGAGTCGGACACGGCTTAGTGATTAAACCACCACCACACCATTTTTTGTGTTTGAGCATTTGACAAGTACTTTTTTTCCAAGAAAATTTTGAATTCAGGTTAACAGTATAGTTAGTCTTTGTAACTTTTCCATGACTCAACCAATAAGCATTGACAAAAAACACAATAGATGGTTAAAGTCATTGTTTTCTGTTTGTTTCAATGGTCCTACAAACTGGCATAGCATTTATACATGTCCTGTGTAATTTTAACAACTGAATTCATGACATTCACAGTCTGTTTAAAAAAACTGACGAATTTCCAATATGTCTTATACAGTATAGCAAAGCAATGAGAAATGTCAGTCTTTTAAAAAATCCTAGTAAATCTAAATTTCTGATGTTACAGAGCTACATTCTGTTGTGGAAAAATGAAAAAGGTTGTTTCATGTCTTGGTGAAATTCTTCTTTGATAGATATGTAAAATTCAAAGATGTGCCATAAGTCAGATTTTTTTTTAAAGCCTCCAGTTGTCAAGATTTCTTAATAAATCTGGAGGTCCTCTGACGACAGAACATCCCCACAATGTTAATTGAGCATTTGATTCATCTAAAAATAAATGTAATTTTTAAATTAAATCAGTTGCTCTTTGGTATTATAAGAAAGGTCTTGAATTCTCCAGGCAGTTGTTTGTGGGCTTAATTGAAGATCTTTCCTTTTTTTTATAAAAATGTTTTAGTTATTTTCTCGTAATTTTGCAGCAAAATTTTCATAGAAAATAATTTATTTCATGTAAGAATAGTTTCTATTTTTGTGTAAGACCTCAAAATGTTTTGTTGCTGGCCAAAGTTATAAGCTCAGATTTTGCTAAAAACTTACTTTAGAAGTTTTTTGTGTGTGGTTAATTTTGATTTTGGTGACTTTGATTCTCTTGACTGTTGAGAGGAAATTTCTTAATGTATCTATTATGTATTTGCTGAAAATACTTTCCTATCGTTATCTACTTTATTCTCCTAAAACATTTTTTATTTAACAACTTTTTAAAATAACAACTTTATTGAGAATAACTCACATGCCATAAAATTCACCATTTTAAAGTATATGATTGAGTAGTTTTAGAATATTCACAAATTGTGTCACCATCTCTGCTATCAGTTTTAGAACATGGGCATCATCCACTGAGAAACAGAAAACACCATACCCATTAGCAGTCACTCTCTGCCCTGAGCCCCTCTTTTGCTGCAACCCAACATCACAAAATATGCAATTCCATTTACATGAAATGTCCAGAATATGCAATTCATAAAAAAAGAAAATAGATGAGTAGTTGCCTAGGAATTGGATTGTAGTGGAGTAGGGACTCAGGGTAGAGAGTAAATGGAAAGTAATTGCTAATGGGATGGTGTTTCTCCATGGGTGATGAACATGTTCTAAAATTGATTGTGGAGGGACTTCCCTGGTGCTCCAGTGGTTAAGACTCCCTGTGTCCAATATAGGGTGCATTTATTTGGTCCCTGGTTGGGGAACTAAAATCCCACATGCTGCATGGCATGGCCAGAATATAAATAAAATTGATTGTGGAGATAGTGATACAACTTTATGAATATCCTAAAGTGATATCTCAAAGGACTAATGATTAGTGTCTTATATATGTTTACTGTCCATTTGCATATCTTGTTTTGGGGAAATGCCTACTGATGTCCTTTGCCCATTTTTAAATTGAGTTTTTTGTCTTTTTGTCAAATTATGAGTTATTTGTTAATTCTGGATGCAAGTTCTTTATCAGGTTTGCAAGTGTTTTACCCCATTGTTTAAATTTTCTTTTTTTTTTCCCCTGGATGATGTCCTTTGAAGCTCAGAAGTGTTTAACTTTTCTTAAAGTCCTGTTTATCTGTTTTTTATTTTTCTTTCATCTCTTCTGAACCAACAGCTTTTCCAGTTTGTTCTGCAGTAAATTATGTAGCATTCATCAGGAAATTTATGACACATTCCTTCAGTCTCTTTTGTTTACTGTTTCAGTTATTTTACTGTCTCAGATGTTATCATCTCCACTTGATTTTTTAAAGAATCTGTCCATAATTTTAAACTAAAAGCCTTAGTTCTTATAATTAAAATAATAAATATATCAATTATGATTTATATAGGTATCTCCATAAATACAGTATCAGAATAAACAGTGTTATATTGGTATCATTCTGATTGAATCAATCCATTGATCCTGACTAGACTGGTGGTGAGTTTGTATTAATATACAGTACTACAAACCACACACGCACACAGTGGTACAACCCAGGCTGCAACATTAATACCTTAACATGATGCGTCAAAGTGGAAGGTAGTCCTGAACAATAAAGTTGTGTTTAACAAAAGAATATTTTACACTGCTTCACCTTTAAAATTTTAATTAAAATGAAATAAAAGTCTAGTTCTTCAGTTGTACTAGCCATATTTCAAGCGCTCATTGCCTGTATGTACCTAGTGTTTATTGTCTTGGACAGCCCAGTATTAGTGTTATCAGTTTTAAAAAACATTAATACTGATTTGATAGTACTTTGTAGCTCACACAATGTTTTGATGTCTTTTATTTACTTTTAAAACCAATTTTGTGAGGTAGATGTGATAGAAATTATCTCTGTTCTACAGATGAGAAGAAAAATTCTGAGAGACTGACTTACCCAAATAATACAACTCGTTAATGAAGGTGTGAAGACTTAATCAGGGCCACTAAATTTGTGGCCTTGTCCACTTACACTCAGTATTTTTTGATATAGTTTTTTGTGATCTAAAAGTACTGGAAGGAGAAAACAATATTCTTTGTTCATTCAACAAGTGTTTTTCTACTCCTTAAGCCCCCTATTCTGGGCAGTGAGATACAGTGGTGAGAGTAAGACAGACAAACTTCTGGTTTGCATGGATCTTAAATTCCAGTTAAGGCATTAGTGAACAAATGTATACTGTAGTACTAGTTAGGAAATAGTATGTTCTATTATAATTTTCTGTAAGAATAAGTAGGAAATTTGGTTTCAGTTTTAGTTTATGTTGAGGTTATCAAGCCCTTATTGTATTGATTTAATTTTTGTTAGCTAGTTTTTTTTTTCCTTTGGAGATAATTTTTTCATAAATACACTACATTTATTTTTTCACAGACAATATAAAGAAGATGAAAGTCAGTCAGAAGAAGAAGATTATAGAAGCCTGAGTGCTTCACCCACTTACAACGGCCTTCTAATGGTATGGGGGACTATCTGATTGATAAATACTTTTTAATAAAGTAAAATAATAATTAATCTCTTAGGAAAGTTAACTGTTTATTAACTATGTTGCAGTCATTACAGAATCAACTCAAGGAATCAAAATCTAAGATAGATGTACTTTTAAGTGAAAAGCTGAATCTTCAAAAAGATTTGGAAGCCAGGTGAGAGAACCTTGTCATTTTTATTTAACGTTTATTTAAGCAAATAGTGGGATTTTGAATGTTAAATCAGTCATCCTATCCCCTTAACTCTAAAACTAATGCTGGGGACCTCATATTTGTATACTCATTTTCATCATTAGTCTCTCATATGATAGAAAGAACAAAAATAAATATGTAAGCAAGGAGAATGAGAAAATAGGAAGAAGATAAAACTGGCTAGGAACTCAGAATAGATTTAGCCTATGCCAGTAGGTTTCCCTTTCACAAACTGTTTTTAATTTTTTTCCAAATTACTTTAGAATCTCTTATTTCATCATATACATGTGTCGTGGGAAAGGAGAAAAATTTTAAAGTTTAAATGGCATACAACAGAAAGGTTTATTTATATACAAGCATACTACCACAGAAGGAAGGCACTCTGCATGTTGACAGAAAGTAATAATGAATGTACACTGTTGAGACTTTTTTCGTTCATTAAATATTGTTGGATACCTATTGTAAGTTAGACATGGTCCTAAGTTCTGATATCATATATAACAAAAAAACACAAATATCTTGTTCTTGTAAAGCTTATACTTTAATGGAAAGGAAACTGATACCTACAATAAAAACCATTTCTGTAAGGCTTAAAAGCCTGCCACATAGTAATGTGTAAATTTATGGTTATATAAATATGAGGGGAAAATTTGTAAAACATGCATGGGAATAATGAACAATGAATTTGGGCTAGTGGTTACCTGTGGTATGGGAAGTGAAAGTGAAAGTTGCTCAGTCGTGTCTGACTCTTTGTGACCTCATGGACTATACAGTCCATGGAATTCTCCAGACCAGAATACTGTAGTGGGTAGCCGTTCCCTTCTCTAGGGGATCTTTCCAAACTAGGGATCAAACCCAAGTCTCCCTCATTACAGCCAGATTCTTTACCATCTAAGCCACAAGGGAAGCCCTAGAATACTGGAATGGGTAGCCTATCCCTTCTTCAGCGGATCTTCCCAACACAGGAGTCAAACTGGGGTCTCCTGCATTGCAGATGGATTCTTTACCAGCTGAACCACCAGGGAAGCCCGTGGTATGGGAAGGAGAGAGCAGTGGCTATAATTAGGGACACGGAGTTTGAAGTAGCTGTATAAGGTTTTAGTTAAAAGATTTTAAACAGGTTACTACTCAGCTTTGATAAAGCTTGAGGCATGGACACACCACTATTTGTTTTACTCTATTCTTGTTTGTGCATTTGAGATAATTCTCTATTAAAGCAAGTAATAGGTTAATAACAATAAAAGTGGGTAGAAAGTTTTGAATAGGGGATGCACAGAAGAAATCCAGTGGCCAATAAATACCTCATTAGCAGTTATGAAGTATTTTAAGAATTTTTAAACATATTTATGACAAGTAATAGAGTACACTTTATTATTATTAAATATGTTTATAGTTTTGTTAAGTAAATTGAATGTGTTCAACATGATTTATTTTCTACAGGCCTACACAGCATGAATTAAGACTTTATAAACAACAAGTGAAGAAACTGGAGAAAGCCCTTAAGAAAAACATCAAGTAATTATATTTTACCATAGTTACAAATTTATTAGGATTTTATATCTTATTATTTATTTTTATTAACCTGTCAGCTTACCTCATAGTGGCTGTGGCTTAAAATTACCAGGTTGATGGGCCACCTGGCAGGGGAGGGGGGCAGGGCGTGTGGAGAAGACTTCTAAAAAGGGATATTTCTGGTTCCACAGTTTAAAAAGTTTCTACTGTAATGGATTTGGCTATACATTCATTTTAAATAAGAACAAGGAAAAGGTAATTGTCTGATATAAAAGGCAAAGATTTTAATTAGTTGACTTTGGAAGTCATGGAGAAATTGTAAGAGAATCATTGAAATTAGAGGTGACAAGGCCCAAATTTTTGTTGGTGGTAGTGATGACCTGAATAATACATAGCCTTATCATATTTTAAAACTTAAAGTATCAGAATGAATGCAGTGAGCCATTCATATCCACCACTTCTCTTTTATGACTTTGAAAAGCACATACAGGAATTTCAGCAAGTTGGTCCTCAAATAGTGTTTTCTGAAGATGCTATGTCTACTCTTTGATTCAAGTAGTGTGGTGAGCATGGGGATGGAATATTTTAAAAATGATATGCATTAGATGTATTAAATCAGTTATATTAGCCTATGTTGAATCAACATAGTGACATAATTTTCAGTGACAGCTGCATTTCCTTTTTCTTTATGGTAACACATGCCACAGTGAAAGGCAAGTATTCTGGCCATCCAGGAATTACATATTGAGTTAAGATAGTAGGGAAGAAAAACTAAAAAATAAAAGAGAAATGGAAGCTTCAGAAAGGTTGCATTCATTCATTCAATTAATATTTTTTCCCTTCCTACTATTGCTTAACATTTTAGGTACTTATAGTACCTCTTCCTTGGAGAAGGCAATGGCACCCCACTCCAGCACTCTTGCCTGGAAAATCCCATGGACGGAGGAGCCTGGTAGGCTACGGTCCATGGGGTCGCTAGGAGTCGGACACGACTGAGCGACTTCCTTTCAGTTTTCACTTTCATGCATTGGAGAAGGAAATGGCAACCCACTCCAATGTTCTTGCTTGGAGAATCCCAGGGATGGGGGAGCCTGGTGGGCTGCCATCTAACAGGTCGCACAGAGTCGGACACAACTGAAGCGAGTTAGCAGCAGCAGCGGCAGCACCTCTTCCTAACTGTTTGGCATTCTAGATACTGAAATTACAGTCATAAACCAAAAAGAAAGGTTCCTGTTCTCATGAAGCTTATGTAAAGGGCAGTGAAAAAAAATAAGACAATTTTGATATAGTATAGGTGAAAATGTGTTAGTCGCTCAGTTGTGGCCAACTCTTTGCGACCCCATGGACTGTAGCCCACTAGGCTCCTTTGTCTATGGGGGTTTTCCAGGCAAGAATGCTGGAGTGGGTAGCCATTCCCTTCTCCAGGGGATCTTCCTGACCCAGGGATTGAACATAGGTCTCCTGTATTGAAGGCAGATTCTTTAACATCTGAGCCAACAGGGGAGCCCATATAGTGTAAGTACCAAAGGTAAAATAGTGTGAGAGTTGCTATTGTACGAGTTTGGACAAGAGGTGGTGGTGACATGGTCAAAGGTGGCAGGATTGGAGGTGGTAAAAAGTGTTTGGAATATTGGAGGTAGAATTTGGTGATCAGACTTGGTGATGGATTGATGATGGATTAGGGGTATAGGCAGTTGAGGGGGAAAAGATTAAGACTCAAAAAGATAAACTTAATCAGGACTGATTTTTAGTCCTGAATAACGAAGTAGTTGTTGGAACATTAACTGAGATAGGAAAATTGGTTAAGGAGCAGCTGAGAAGAGGAATATATAAGGTGGACAAAAAGTCAGAGGAGGAAGTGTAGAGGAGGAAAACTTCACAACCTTCTTAGGGTCTCTGGCTGGGCCTGAAAATTAAACTGACACAGATTAACATGAAAAAAGTATAAATTTATTTAATGTAAGTTTTACCTGGCCTGAGAAGAAATGAAGACTTGAAGAAACAGTTAAGCCTGAGCATTTTAATACTAGGTTTGATGAAGAGTGAGTGGAAAGTTGGAAAATGTAATAGTACAAAGGGTATAAGCTGAGGGTATAAACTGGGGAAAGTTTGGATTTCCCTTCTAAAGAGACAAAGATGCTTATTTGTCCTGGGGTACAAGGAGGGCAGCTTGTTACCCTCCTTGAGGGTACCCTCACATGAGGATCTCCTGGTCTGTTTCAGGGAAAAGGGGGGAGGTCAAAGAGTTCTTCCTGTACGTATCAATTCTCAAATTCCTTCTGTTTAAAACATTTCTTACGTCAAAATGACACGTTTTGTTTTTGTTTTGGCCACACCATATTGCTTGTGGGGTCTCAGTTCCCTGACCAGGGATTGAACCTGGGGCAAGGCAGTGAAAGCCTGGAATCCACTAGGCCACCAGGAGCTCCCTTAAAATGGCATATTTTTGGAGTGGCATGTCTTGATCCCCTTCAATGGACTTTTATTGACTTCAGTGTAAGTGTATCAGTGAACATACATACACACATAAATGCTTACACATATATTCATAGAGATACTTGCTCATTCCTCATTATTTGCAGATTGCATATTTGTGAATTTGCCTACCTGCTATAATTTCTTTTTAATTCTCAAATAAGTAGTGGTGACACTTGCACAGTTATTCATGGACATGCCCAGTATACACATTTTCAGTTATTCAACAAGGTGATACTCTCCCCGCATTTCCGCTTTCATGGTGTAAACAGTCATTGTTTCTGTTGTCACATGCCACTTGTAGTTTTCCATTCTTTGCTTTTTATTGGTGATTTCTCCAAGATGGTCCCAAGCATGGTGTTGAAGTACAATCTAGTGTTCTATTCATAAGAAGGCTGTGATGTACCTTACAAAGAATATATATGTGTTAAAGAAACTTCATTTAGACATAAGTTACAGTGCTGTTAGCTATGAGTCCAATGTTAATGAAACAACAATATTAAAAAAGATGTCTTTAAACATTAACACACATAAAACAAGGTTATATATTCATCAGTTGAGGAAAATGTGACCAGAGAGGCATGCAAGAACCTAATCCTATATTTCCCCTAGGAGCAGTGGTTCAGTCCTCACTAATTCAGTGTATACAGTAACTTTATTGCATATAACTGCCATGAATAATGAGAATTTACTGTATATATATTTTTTGTTGTTGATTTGTGCTGTGATTTTTAGAGTGACTTTTCATTATTAGACTTTAAAATTGTGATTTAGAACCAATCCTAGCTATATTTTTCGTTGAATTTTGAAGAAGTGATTTGTGTTTTTAGAAATTTACATTTAGAATTTAAACTTCTATAGTATCTAGATGTGAAACAGAATTAAGAATGTTAGATAACTTGCCCATACTGCACAGGTGGCATGTGGAAGAACTTGGAAAGAAATCAGACCGACACCTAAGCATTTGAACTCTCAAGCTCACACTAATAATAATTAAAACCAAACAAAAACCCAATGGAAAAAAAAAACTTTTTTAATGTAAAACTTCAAATTTTTATTTTTTGCAGGGGCAGAGGTAGAATTTTTTTCAAAGAACTACTGATGTTAAGGAAATAATTAGAAATAAAAATCTGTCAACCCAGTGAATATTCTCTACATGTGTAGGGAAAAAAAGAAACAGTTTTATATAACAGTTGGAATAAATATTGAGCCAGACTGCGATGTGCATTAAATGCAGTATGCTATAGAGATTGCAAAGACAGAAGGAAATCTCACCCTTTAATTATATCTTGTGACAAGGGGGAAGTTACAACTTAGAACCAGGATCCTAGGCTAAGCTTCAGTAGGGAAAAGGAGACAAGGCACCCTCTTCCTTGATGTCCTTATTTCAAAGAGATGGTTCTAAGGCTCCCAAGACACTGCTAATTTTAAGCAGGAGGCTTATTTAAATTTTATCAGAATCTACAAACTTAGAAAGGATTTACAACTACAGGTTTTCTAAAGGAAATGCTACAAGAAAAGGAGGGGAAAGTCTCTTTCTGTTTTATAACCAGAGAAAATTAAATTTTTTCTTTAGATCTGTATTTACTTTTCAACTAATCAATCTTCAATATCAAATGATATTAATTTAACATGTGAAAGCTTGTTTTAGCTAATATTATAAGCAAGTTGGTTATGAAGTTCTGTTGCTAGAAAGTAATCAAATGGATCTGCCATTGCAAGATAGCCAAAGGTACTACACTAATTCTATTTAATTTTTTCAGTGGTATTTATATTTTGTTAGAAGGAAATAAAATCAGAATTTTACCACCCACGTGTTGGGCTGGCAGAAGTTGAGGTGGTCAGTTAGAATAAGCCAAGTAAATTAATCATCAAGGCTTTATTCACTTACTTCAATAATATAAACAAGAGGCCAAAGAGAAAAGGGCTGGTTTCTCGGTATCCCATTTTTTCCCCATGAAATGGCACCCAGCAAGTGTCAAGTCAGTGATATGGTGCGCAGATGACTCCTGTGGCTTCATAAGCTAGGGAAAGGGCATGATATGGAAACATACCTGAGTCAAAGTGAAAAAAGTGTTTCAGTTAGGGCTCCCCATCCATCTCCCAAATAGAATTCCAGAATGGGAGTCACCATGAGATTATGAAAAGGCTTCAGCAGACACAGTTAAAAGCTATAAAGTGTCTGCACATGGAAACTTAGGGGGATGGCTATTGAAAACAGGAGACAGCAGTGTTTTTAAGTTGGAAGGACAGTTTTCTGGATTTCCCAGACTCCACAGAGAAACATAGCTATTGCTGCTGGCTATGTGGAATGAGTATCTGCTAAGTATGTGAAGAATTCCTTAGCCATTTTAGGGGATTTTTATGGCCTTCAGGTTCTGCTCACCACTTTGGAGACTACAAAACAATCCTGGAATATTTCTAAGTGCAGCATAGTCTGCTCAAACACAGGTTCCTAAAACACCAACCAAGTCAAATGTAATTGGAAAGTAAGAGAATGATTAGATTAACATAGTAGTTGCATTGTTTTCATGTGATTTTCCCCCCCATGGTAAAAGGAGAATAGTATAGATTTTGGAAAGGGGAAAGCTTTGCTAGTATGTAGGCACCTGCCCTTTCAGCTCTGTTTTAAGACAATTTAAAATGAGAACCTGTACCCAAGGCTCCCTCCCTGAACCCCAGCATTAGACAGACTGGAGGCTAAAGGCAAGTTGTACTTCTTTCCCCACCTGTTTTAACCTTGGCTTCTTTGGCCAGGAGCTCAACTTCCATCTTCGTAGTCTTGGCATCCTCAAGCCAACATTTCTGTTCTGTTGGCTATGGATTTTGTTATATTGGAGACAACCTCAAGACATACTTGAGCTGTTTAACTTATCTCGAGGCACCAATTATTATTTTTTGTTGTCTAGTTACATAGTTGCATCAGTTTTTAAATACTCTGATTTCTAACGCTTTTCTCCTGACCACTATTGTTTTCACATGTGTGATTTTGCTGAATACAAAGGTTTTCAGAAGTATTATGCTATGGCAAATATTTACTATGAGACTAGCTGAACCAAAGGTCAGTTTCCCATAAGTTCCTAGATTTTACTAATCCTTAACTTCTGTAAATATAGAAAAACAGTGGGATTAAATACATTAATACATGTGAAGTGCTTCGAAGAGTACCTTCAGAGAGAAGGTTCTCAATAAATACTAATTATTATCACCACCAGGCTCCCAGATATATTGTCATTGTTATTAAATTAAGGGTATCTCTTAATTTACCTAGTTAATTGAATCACATTTCATTTCCCAGAGTGACTGTAGCTAGTACATTCAATAACACGTTTAGGTTACTGTCCTGGCAACTAAAATGTTGTATATCCATAGTATAATGTTAATCACACTTATAAACAGTTTGTTGAGAAGTTAAACTTTTTCACCTGAATGCAAGGTTAATGTGTAAATTCAGATATGTCTGTTTACTTGTAGTCCTCTTAGAGCGCTGTTGGCTTTTCTGTGTTACTTTTGTTTTCTAGACAGTATGCTTTTGGCACTGCTTTTAGGCAAAACTGTCAAGTATATTAATATGGTAAATAGATGAGAAGTCAAATGGAAACTATACAAAAAAGATCTTAATCTGGATAACCACGGTGGTGTGACTACTCACCTACAGCCAAACATCTTGGAGTGTGAAGTCAAGTGGGCCTTAGGAAGCATTACTACGAACAAAGGAAGTGGAGGGGATGGACTTCCAGCTGAGTTATTTCAAATCTTAAAAGATAATGCTGTTAAAGTGCTGCACTCAGTGTGCCAGCAAATTTGGAAACTCAGCAGTGACCAAAGGACTGGAAAAGGTCGGTTTTCATTCCAATCCTAAAGAAGGGCAATGCCAAAGAATGTTCAAACTACCACACAACTGTGCTCATTTCACATGCTAGCAAGGTAATACTCAAAATCCTTCAAACTGGGCTTCAACAGTATATGAACTGAGAACTGCCAGATGTATAAGCTGGATTTAGATAAGACAGAGGAACTAGAGATCAAATTGCCAACATCCGTTGGATCATTGAAAAAGCAGGAGAGTTCCCGAAAAACATCTACTTCTGCTTTATTGACTACACCAAAGCCTTTGTGCGGATCACAACAAACTGTGGAAAATTCTTAAAGAGAGAGGAATATACCTTACCTGCCTCCGGAGAAACCTATAGGCAGGTCAAGAAACAACAGTTAGAACCGGACATGGAACAGAGTGGTTCCAAATTGGGAAAGGAATATGTCAGGGCTGTATATTGTCACTCTGTTTATATAACTTATATGCAGAGTACATCATGTGAAATGCTGGACTGGACGAAGCTAAAGCTGGAATCAGGATTGCTGGGAGAAATATCAATAACCTCAGGTATGCAGATGGACACTACCCTAATGGCAAAAAGTGAAGAGGAACTTAAGAGCCTCTTGATGAAGGTGACAGAGGAGAGTGAAAAAGCTGGCTTAAAACCCAGCATTAAAAACATGAAGATCATGGCATCCAGTCCCATCACTTCATGGCAAATAGATGGGGGAGAAATGGAAACAGTGACAGATTTTATTTTCTTGGGCTCCAAAATCACTGCCAACAGTGACTTCAACCATGAAATTAAGACACTTGCTCCTTGGAAGAAAAGCTATGACAATCCTAGACAGTGTATTACAAAGCAGAGACATCACTTTGCTGTCAAAGGTCTATCTAGTCAAAGCTATGCTTTTTTCAGTAGTCATGTATGGATGTGAGAGTTGGACCCTAAAGAAGGCTAAACGCCAAAAAATTGCTGCTTTTGAACTGTGGTGCTGGAGGAGACTCTTGAGAGTCCCTCGGACTGCAAGGAGATCAAACCAGTCATTCTTAAAGGAAATCAGTCCTGAATATTTATTGGAAGGACTGATGCTTAAGCTGAAGCTCCAATACTTTGGCCACCTGACCTGAAGAGCCAACTCATTAGAAAAGACCCTGATGCTGGGAAAGATTGAAGGCAGGAGGAGAAGGGGACAGCAGAAGATGAGATGGTAGGATGGCATCACTGATTCAGTGGACACAAGTATGAACAAACTCCAGGAGCTTGTGAAGGACAGGGAAGTGTGGCATGCTGCAGTTCATGGGGTCACAAAGAATCAGACACAGCTGAGCAACTGAACAACAAAACAAGTGAAAAATAGATTGGGAGGTCTTTGTGTCTACTAGAGGAAAGAGGTTGACTTTTTATCTAGAGTTAATTCTGTTTATTTTGTTTTGGACATATGTCCTCCAGAGAGCACAGAAAAATAGTTGAGTGAATATCAAAGGGAATACATGTGAGTGGAGGAGATAATTATAGTGTGGTAATAAGAGATAACGTTAAGAAAGGAGTCAGGAGGAATATTGGATTAGGACTGACAACACGAAGTTCAAATGCTAACACATGGAGATTAGATTTAGCTCACAAAGCAAAAAACAATGGGAAAGCTATTGTTTTTTAGTAGGAAAATATTTTACAAACAGCAAGTCAGGCTTATTAATGATTGAGTCATGGAATCAGTTTAATGGGTCACAGTTCCACAGGAAACTGATAGGCATACTCAGATTTTAAATGTTTAATTTGAAGTAGGTTTAATAAGAGACTTTTTTCTAAGGCAGGTGGTGGGGGAGAAATGTCTACTACACTTGACTTTTAGAGCTATTTGGATATCTCTAAGTGGATACACTCATATGTTTTTAGCTTTTTGGACAGAGACTCTCCCCTAAAGTTCTGGTGGCCACCTGGGACAGTGGTCTCTTGAGTTTTCATGCCCTCTTGATTAGCAGGTTTCACTGTTGTCTTCTCTTTGGCACCAGTGGAATATGAAGAAGGAAGGACCAAGCTCTCTAGTTCTTGCTGTTGCAGTGCCCAAACTGTTTGCCCCACCCACTGTTTATTGATGCCCTTACAACATCAAACTTGGAGCACCTTGGAAGTTGTTTTCATTCTTTATTGCGGTTCTTTCCTATTCTGTTCTTTGTAAGTGTTGGGGAATGGTTATAACTTTTCATCATCAGTCTAATTCCTTCTGTTTTCAGGGATTCCTTCTATATTGTGTCTACTGAGAGGGTCTTCTCGTTTTCTAGTGACAATGTGGCTTAAATTAAAAATGTATATATGATTATATGCATGTGTATGCATGCACATACACATATGTAAAATGACGGAGTTAACGGGAGGGTAGCTGGGTCATTGGCTCATTTTGTCATCTTAATCCACTGTTTAGTAAAGCATATGTATTATCTTAATTTTTTTCCCCCTTAGATTACAGAATATTATCAGTCAAAAAAAGGCTGAGGACAAAGAGGGAAAAGATGAGCCCAGCAAAGATAACCAGCAACAGGCTCTGATTGACCAGAGATACTTCCAGGTATTGCCGACAAAAAGACTGGTGTTTACAGTGAACCTTGGTTAAGAATCACAGTATAATAAATTATCAGTAAGGAATACTTGTATCCTTTATTTGCATGTGCTTAGTGTGTCTTGTCTTGCCATGACATACCTAATTGCTAGAAGTTGGTACCTTGACTTAGAATTGTCCCTTGAAAAGAGACTTTGGCCTAGTTCAAAGTAGGGCAGTAAAAACCTGACAAGATTTTAATAGATACCATAAACCTTTTCTTTACTCTCCCTGCTAAGCCATTTCTCTTGTTTCCTTTTCTATCTTTTTGTTTTTGCTATTGTTGATACTATTATTATATAAGTAAATCTACTTTTTAAGGTCTTTGTTATACTTTTGAAAAATTTGTATGTTTTGTCCACCTGAAACTTAATTTTCTTTGTGGTATGATATAGTGATCTAACTTTACTTCATGTATAGACCATCTGTTACTGAGCAAATGAGCAGTTAAGTCTGGTAGTTTACTGACTGAGCTGGGCCTGCATTCATATTTTATTGGGCCCTTACAGGTTTTTTTTAAACTTTGAATTAATTACTAATTTTTTTAATTAAGAGATTTTATTTAAGTCCTTATTTCTAATTTCTCTTAAAAAGTCAAAGGATCTGGCCACAAATTCCTGCACAGTGGTTCCCAGTGCAGGATTAGGTCTGGCCCCTGTCATGCGTGGCCGTGTGCTTCTCAGTCAGCCCAGTACCATGCCATCCTTGCTTCACTTGTCTGTGCTCTTTCTTGGCTTCTGTAGGCAGTTTCTTGTAGACCATTCTTTCTCTGCTTTATTGAAATTGAAATGTTTATCCTCTACCATATTCTCTTAGATGCATAGATTTATTTCTAGACTCTGTAGTGTCTCATTTCTATACAAATTTCTGTAGTTTTATAGTCAGCTCTGATACCTTCTGGGGTATTCTTTTAAATTTTTTTCTTGTATATATTTTTAGCACATTTGTTCTATATGAACAATGTCAACTCAAAAACAGATCCCACTGAGACAGCTGAGATTGAGTTAACTTTTTAGATTAATATTTGGAAAAATACCACATTTATAGTTTTGAATCATCTCACTCAGAAATATGTCTCTAATTTTATTTGGGTCTTCCTTTGTACCTTTTAATAAAGCTTTATATCTTTTTAAGTTTAGCTCTTGCATATATTTTGTTTTGTTTCCTAGGTTATCTAGTTATCTTATAACTTTTATTGCTATTATTAATTGGGGCCCTTTTTCCATTATATTTTTTAATTGATTGTTGCTGGTTCTTTGTACATCTCTGTGTTGATATTATGTCCAGGCACCTTTGTGAAAACTGTGGGGTTTTTTTGTAGTATAATTGTTTCACAATGTTGCATTGGTTTCTGCTGTACAATGAAAGGAATCAGCTATATATATACATGCATCCCTTCCCTCTTGGACCTCCCTCCTACCACCCCCCACTGCCACCCCAACCATCTAGGTAATCACAGAACACCAAACTGAGAAAATATGGCAAAATGTTAACAGTTATTGAATCTCAGTTTATATGGGTATTTGTGACTGGGCCACAGGGTGTCCACATATTTGGTCAAACATTATTCTGGATTCGTCTGAGAATACTTATGAATGAGAGGAGAAAATCTTTTTTCTCTATACCTGTTAATAAGGACCACCACAAGTGGTTTGCTTAAACTGTCAAAGCTAATAATATACCTTCACTGTCATACCTCAGGGGTATATCAGCTCTCCATGTTATATACCTCAGGGTGTATCAGCCCCTATGTTATAATTTAGTTCACAGGGATCTTGATCACTTTTCCCTTCTATAAGATATTACACTGGCCCATTACATTGATGATAGTATGCTGATTAGACCTACTGAGCAAGAAGTAGCAGATTATTGGTATTTGCATGTTAAAGGATGGGAAATAAATCTTAACAAAAATGCAGGGACCTTCTACCATAGTGAAACTTCTAGGGCTCAAGTGGTGTGGGCATGTCAAAATATCGTGTGTAAGGTAAAGGATAAGTTGTTCCTTGGGCCCCTCTAACAACCAAAAATGTGGCACAGCACCCAGTGGGTCTCTTTGCATTTTGGAGGTAGCATATTCCTCCTGTGATGTGTTCTCCCGCCACATTTACTGAGTGATCTGAAAAGGTGCTAGTTTTGAGTATGGCTCACAACAAGAGAAGACTCTGCATCGGTCCAGGATGCTGTGCAGGCTGCTCTGCCATTTGGGCCATAGGACCCTGGAGGTCCATGGTGGCTTAGACTGTCCTGGCAGACAGGGATGCTGCTTGGAGCCCTTGGTGGCCTCTGTAGGTGAGTCGCAAGTCAGATCCTTAGAGTTTTGAAGAAAAATCCTGTCATTCTTTGCAAATAACTACTTTCCTCTTAAGAAACAGCTCTTGGCCTTTTAGTGGGTCTGAGTAGAGACAGAAGACTTAACAGTGGGCCACCAACCTACCATGTAACCTGAATTGCCCATCATGAACTGGTTGTTATTTGACCCACCAGCCATAAAGTTGGATGAGCACAGCAGCACTCCATCATTGAATGAAGGTGATACATATGAAATTGGGCCTCAGCAGACCCTAAAGGCACAATAAATTACATGAAGAAGTGGCCCAAATGCCCATGGTTTCCCATTCTTGCTGCACCACCACCTCTCTCCCTGCCTGCACCTATGGCTTCAAGGGGAGTTCCTTATGATCAATCAACACAAGAAGAGGAGACTTAGGCCTGGTTTACAGATGGCTTTGTGTGATATGTAGGCACCACATTAAAGTACACAGCTGCAGCACTACAGCTCCTATCTGGGGCATCCCTGAAGCAAAGTAATGAAGAGAAATCCTCCCACTGGGCAGAACGATGAGCAGTGTACTACTGCACCACAAGGAAGGAAAGGAGGAGTGTCTAGAATACAAGAGATCCCATAGGGCATCGTTTAGTGTTGCCGTGCCTTGTGATAAAGGTCAATGGAAAACTCCCAACAGCCTGGTCCAGACCCTTCAGAAATGAAGATTTGAATTACACCAGCAAGTAAAGAACCAGGAGCATCTGAGGTACTTGTTGAAGGCAGATGTAATAAATAATAGGTAATGGAAGAAAGTAGTGATAAATACCAGCTGTGACCATAGGATGACAACAGAAATGAAGATTGTACTTGTCATGTGTATTTCTTCCTTCTTTTGTCATGAATATGTTCATATATTTATGTGTGTATATATATATGTTTTTCTGTGTATATATTTGTAAATACACACATGGCAAGTGGTTTTTTTTTTCTTGCTCTTATTCTCTTGCATAATGATTTTATGTCATATTTGAGTATCCAGCAAATTTGGGAAACTCAGCAGTGGCCACAGAACTGGAAAAGGTCAGTTTTCATTCCAATCCCAAAGAAAAGCAATGCCAAAGAATACTCAAATTACCGCACAATTGCACTCATCTCACATGCTAGCAAAGTAATGCTTAAAATTCTCCAAGCCAGGCTTCAGCAATATGTGAACCATGAAATTCCAGATGTTCAAACTGGTTTTAGAAAAGGCAGAGGAACCAGAGATCAAATTGCCAACATATGTTGGATTGTCAAAAAAGCAACAGAGTTCCAGAAAAACATCTATTTCTGCTTTATTGACTATGCCAAAGCCTATTGACTGTGTGGATCATAACAAATTGAAAAATTCTTAAAGAGATGGGAATACTAGACCACTTGACCTGCCTCCTGAGAAACCTGTATGCAGGTCAAGAAGCAACAGTTAGAACTGGACATGGAACAACAGACTAGTTGCAAATTGGGAAAGGAGTACGTCAAGGCTGTATATTGTCACCTTGCTTATTTAACTTATATGCAGCATACATCATGTGAAATGCTGGGCTGGATGAGCACAAGCTGGAATCAAGATTGCCAGGAGAAATATCAATAACCTCAGATACGCAGATGACACCACGCTCATGGCAGAAAGCAAAGAAGAACTAAAGAGCCTCGATGAAAATGAAAGAGGAGAGTGAAAAAGTTGGCTTAAAGCTCAACATTCAAGAAACTGAGATCGTAGTATCCGGTCCCATCACTTCATGGGGAAACAGTGACAGCCTTTATTTTCTTGGGCTCCAAAATCACTGCAGATAGTGACTGCAACCTTGAAATTAAGACATGTGTTCCTTGGAAGAAAAGCTATGACCAATCTAGACCACATATTAAAAAGCAGAGGCTTTACTTTGCTGACAAAGGTCCAGCTAGTCAAAGGTATGGTTTTTCTAGTAGTCATGTATGGATGTGAGAGTTGGACTATAAAGAAAGCTGAGTGCCGAAGAATTGATGCTTTTGAACTGTGGTGTTGGAGAAGACTCTTGAAAGTCCCTTAAAGTGCAAGGAGATCCAACCAGTCCATCCTAAAGGCAATCAGTCCTGAATATTCATTGGGAGCTGAAGCTGAAACTCCAATACTTTGGCCACCTGATGTGAAGAACTGACTCGTTTGAAGACCCTGATGCTGGCAAAGATTGAAGGCAGGAGGAGAGGAGGACAATAGAGGATAAGATGGTTGGATGGCATCACCGACTTGATGAACATGAGTTTAAGTAAACTCTGGGAGTTGGTGATAGACAGGGAAGCCTGACGTGCTTGCTGCAGTCCATGGGGTGACAAAGAGTCGGACACAGCTGAGTGACTGAACTGAACTGAATTTTATATCATAGGTTTTTTTAATGGTTACATATTTATTTATTTATTCATTTATTTATTTTTGACTGTGCTGTGTCTTTGTTGATGCGCCCGGGCTTTCTCTAGTTGCAGTGAGTGGGGGCTACTCTCTAGTTGTGATAAATGGGCTTCTCGTTGCGGTGGCTTCTCGTTGTGGAGCACAGACTCTAGGTGCGAGGGCTTCAGGGGTTGCACCATGCAGGTTCTAGAGCACAGGCTCAGTAGCTGTGGCATGTGGACTTGGTTTCCCCGTGGCATGTGGGATCTTCCTGGACCAGGAATTGAACCTGTGTCCCCTGCATTGGCAGGTGGATTCTTAACCACTGCACCACCAGGGAAGTCCTATATCATTGTTTTTAAATTATAGGGTATCAAGTTATCAGGATATTGATGAACAATGCAGAGAAATAGAAGAAAACAACAGAAGGGGAAAGACTAGAGATCTCTTCAAGAAAATTGGAGATATCGCAGGAAGATTTCATGGACAGATGGGCACAATAAAGGATAGAAACAATAAAGACCTAATAGAAGCAAAAGCAATGGCAAGAATACACAGAAGAACTTTACGAAAAAGATCTTTATGACCCAGATAACCACTATGGTGTGGTCACTCAGTCAGAGCCAGACATCCTGGAGTGTGAAGTCAAGTGGACCTTAGGAAGCACTGCTGCCAGTAAAGCTAGTGGAGGTGATGGCATTCCAGCAGAGCTATTTAAAATCCTAAATGGTGATGCTGTTAAAGTGTTGCACTCAAAATGTCAACAAATTCAGAAAACTCAGCAGTGGCCACAGGACTAGAAAAGGTCAGTCTTCATCCTGGTTACCAGAAGGGCAGTACTAAAGAATGTTCAAACCACTGGACAGTTGCACTCACTTCCCATGCTAATCAGGTTATGCTCAAAATCCTTCAAGCTAGGCTTCAGATGTATGTGAACCGACAAGCTGGGTTTAGAAAACGCATCAAGGAGAAGAGTAATCATCACTTTAGGACTTCACCTCCTTTTCTGACAAAGGGGTTTTAGTGCATCTTTGATTGTATGCAGCATAGTTATATCATGTTGGGTAATCCATGATCTCATTTGTTATTGTGTGTATTTGGAGATTAAGTATGGTTTAAGGCAAACCTGATAGCTCAGCTGGTAAAGAATCCACCTGCAATGCAGGAGACCCTGGTTCGATTCCTGGGTCGGGAAGATCCACTGGAGAAGGGATAGGCAAACCTACTCAAGTATTCTTGAGCTTCCTTTGTGGCTCAGCTGCTGGTAAAGAACCTGCCTGCAATGTGGGAGACCTGGGTTCAATCTCTGGTTTGGGAAGATCCCCTAGAGAGGGGAAAGGCTACCCACTCCAGTATTCTGGCCTGGAGAATTCCATGGACTATACAGTCGCAAAGAGTTGGACACGACTGAGCAAGTTTCACTTCACTTCAAGACAAACCTGGTGGCTCAGATGGTAAAAGAATCTGCCAGTGATGACCAGGTTCATCACCGGTTCATCAATCCACCTGCAATGCAGGAGACCCAGGTTCAATCCCTGGGTTGGGAAGATACCGTGGAGAAGGGAATGGCTACCCACTGCAGTATTCTTGCCTGGAGAATTCCATGAACACAGGAGCCTGGTGGGCTACAGTTTATGGAGTCTCAAAGAGTTGGACATGACTGAGTGCCTAAAGCAAAGTGTATGGGTGTCAAGTTGACACGGGGTGAACTTGTGATGGTTAATTTTATGTGTCAACTTGACAAGGCTAGAGGGTGCCCAGATAATCTGGTCAGATATTGTCCTAGGTGTGTCTATAGGGTGTTTCTGGGTGAAATTATCATTTGCAATGGTAGACTGGGGCAAAGTAGATTGCCTTCTCTACAGTGGGTGAGTCTCATCAAATCATTTGAAGGCCTGAGTAGAACAAAAAGGCTAAGGAAGAGGGAACTTTCTGCCTGCCTGACTGCTTTTGAGCTGGGACATCAACTTTTTTTTTTTTTCCTGCCTTCAAATATTAAACTGAAACATTGACTCTTCCTGGGTCTCAAGCCTGTGGGAATTCAGACTGGAACTGTATCATGGGCTCTTCTGGGTCTCCAGCATTGCTAACTGTAGATCTCAGGATTTGTCACTCCTATAATAGAGTGAATCAGTTCTTTATAATTAACAAATACAAATACATATGCACACATGAGTACACATCCTGTTCATTCTGTTTCTGGTGAACCCTGACTATATATAAATAGTATTTATTGTTCATAGTCTCTTTATTTTCATTTAAGGAAATTTCATCAAAATTTTCTTGTTGAAAAATTGGGAGAAAAAGTTATTTAAATCTCCATCAAAATTTCAATCTCTCATCCAATTCAAATCTTCTGCTTAATGCTTACTTTATTTTGTGCCTGCCCTGTACTTCTCCAAATAAGCAGTGTGGCAAGGGATTGTGATCTGTTTCATTATTTCATTGGTCCCCTTCTCTCCTAGTCCTCTGCTGTATCTGGCTTCTTCCACATTGGCAGTGAGGGTGAATGTTGAGTGAGAATAGAAAGCAAAAGAGTAGAATCTTTCTTGACTGGTGCTGGTGTAATCTAGCACTGGTGCCCTTTGTGTGGCTAATGACTAAATACTGCCTGTTTTTCTCTATCATAGACTGTGTGTGTGTGTCATTTTTTCCAGTTGACCTCTTATGAATGCCTCTCCTTCTCTTGTTCAGCTGACACTCCCTTAAAGGCCTCCAGCTACATGTACTTTTTTTTTTCCATGAAAGCAAAGCTTGACTGTCTTCCAGTGTCCTTGGTCACAGGGTATATTCTTACCTACCATAAAGTAAAAAGGCAAACTTCTCTTGTTGCTGCTTCCTCTCCTTATTCTAGTCCATCTTTGAATTTATCACTTTATTTTTGCTGTGTAAACAACCCTCCTAAAACTTAATGACTTAAAATAACAACCCTTTTAGTATTACTGTGCTTAAACAGCTGAGCAGTTCTCAGCTGGGCTCCTTCATGCACCTGCTATCAGATACAAGTCAGCTAGGTGGCTCTGGAGTTGAATGGATATCAGGGTGATTGGGTTGACTGGGCCATGTGTCTTTTATCATTCACCATTTAGCCTGGGCTCTTCCACAGGGCATCATCATCATCTTAGTTGCTCAGTAGTGTCCAACTCTTTGCTACCCCATGGACTGTAGCCTGCCATGCTCCTCTGTCCAAGGGGCTTCCCTGGTAGCTCAGAGGGTAAAGTGTCTGCCTGCAATGCGGGAGACCTGGGTTCAATCCCCAGGTCAGGAAGATCCCCTGGAGGTGGCAATGGCAACCCACTCCAGTACTCTTGCCTGGAAAATTCCACAGATGGAGGAACCTGTTAGGCTACAGTCCATGGTGTCGCAAAGAGTCACACACGACTGAGCAACTTCACTTCCACAGGGCAGAAGAGCTCAATAGGAGAGAGCAGAAATAATCAAAGCCCCTTGAGTCTTGGGCGCCAAACTGGTACACCTTTATTTCCTTTTCTGTCTATCAGAGCAAGGCCCAAGGTTGCCATAGATTCATGGAGTAGAAAATAGACTCTGTTTCTTGATGGGAGAAACTGCAGTGTCATATTGCAAAGGTGAGAGCACAAAGAAAGAGAAAAATTGCAGTAATTTTTGCAAACAATCTGCAAGGTATGGATACACACTGCTAGCCATATATGTAATTCTCCTTGGTTCACCATCACCCTCAAGGAATGGGGTTGTGCTGTGATCTTCTGGAGATCAGCTCCCTGCTCTCCCTGTTCTGCTGCCCTTCTTAATTTCTGGTGTGAAGGAGAGGGAGAATAAAGACTATATTCCTGTGCTCATTAGTAATTTAATGAAGGGGAATTATTTTTTCCATTAAAATGGTATTCAAAGTAGAGTTTAAATGTAATAGAATCAAAACATTGAAATGTACGTTCTAAGCCAAACAACAACTACTTGTAAATAAACATCAGAAATCAAATTCTTAGGAGACCTGTAGCTTTCTATGGGGAAAGAAGAAAACAGCATTTTTCACTCATTCTGTACAGCCCTTTGAAAGACACTTGTCTTGGTGAATCCTGTCCAGTGAATCTCTAACTCAGAAAATGATGTTGCATTGATACACAAGCACTCTAACATAGATCACTCTGATAGGACTGTGATAAACTTTTCAACTAAAAATGCCATCTTTTTTTACAGGTATTGAGTAGCATCAATTCAATTATTCATAATCCAAGAGCTCCAGTAATAATATATAAACAGAGCAAAGGAACAGCTCAACATTTTAATAGAGATCTTGTTCAGGATTGTGGATTTGAGCATCTTGTTCCTATAATAGAAATGTGGGCAGATCAACTGGCTTCCTTAAAGGTATGTGGTTGAATACTCTTTACATGATTTGAAAATATATCGGAGTCTGTGGGCTTTATATACTTTTATTAATCAAAGTGTTATATTTGGTATGCTTTTACCATAGTTTTTTTCTTTATAATTGTACCTTATTGATGAAATGTTGGTTAATGAAAGTGTCATTGTGTTGTGACTTCCAGACTTTTTCAAATTCTGGTGGTACTAGTTGTTTAGTACATTTATTTGACACTGAATGTGTTGCCTTGAATTGCTAGTTTTTTAAAAACTATCAAAATGTCATACTCTTCCTCCTTTTTACCAAATGCTGCTGCTGCTACTACTAAGTCGCTTCAGTCGTGTCCGACTCTGTGCGACCCCACAGATGGCAGCCCACCAGGCTCGCCCATCCCTGGAATTCTCTAGGCAAGAGTACTGGAGTGGGGTGCCATTGCCTTCTCCATCTTACCAAATGAAAGGTTAACAATACTAATATGTGAGGTCTAGGTGTTAACTGTGCTTGTGCTTAGTCACTCAGTCATGTCCAACTCTACAACCCCATGGTCTGTAGCCCAACAGGCTCCTCTGTCCATGGGGATTCTCTCGACAAGAATACTGGAGTGGGTTGCGTGCCTTCCTCCAGGGCATCTTCCCAACCCAGGGATCGAAAGCAGGTCTCCTGCATCTAGGTGTTAATTCAGTTCAGTTCAGTCGCTCAGTTGTGTCCAACTCTTTGCGACCCCATGAATTGCAGCATGCCAGGCCTCCCTGTCCATCACCAACTCCTGGAGTTTACTCAAACTCATGTCCATCGAGTTGGTGATGCCATCCAGCCATCTCATCCTCTGTCGTCCCCTTCTCCTCCTGCCCCCAATACCTCCCAGCATCAAGGTCTTTTCCAATGAGTCAGCTCTTTTCATGAGGTGGCCAAAGTATTGGAGTTTCAGCTTCAGCATCAGTCCTTCCAATGAACACCCAGAGCTGATCTTTCGGATGGACTGGTTGGATCTCCTTGCAGTCCAAGGAACTCTCAAGACTCTTCTCCAACACCACAGTTCAAAAGCATCAATTCTTTGGCACTCAGCTTTCTTCACAGTCCAACTCTCACATCCATACGTGAACACTGGAAAAACCATAGCCTTGATTAGATGGACCTTTGTTGGCAAAGTAAAAATGTCTCTGCTTTTTGATATGCTGTCTAGGTTGGTCATAACTTTCCTTCCAAGGAGTAAGCATCTTTTAATTTTATGGCTGCAATCACCATCTGCAGTGATTTTGGAGACCAAAAAAATAAAGTGTGACACTGTTTCCACTGTTTCCCCATCTATTTGCCACAAACTGATGGGACCAGATGCCATGATCTTAGTTTTCTGAATGTTGAGCTTTAAGCCAACTTTTTCACTTTCCTCTTTGTCACTTTCATCAAGAGGCTTTTTAGTTCTTCTTCACTTTCTGCCATAAGGGTGGTGCAATCTGCATATCTGAGGTTATTGATATTTCTTCCAGCAATCCTGATTCCAGCTTGTGCTTCTTCCAGCCCAGTGTTTCTCATGATGTACTCTGCATATAAGTTAAATAAGCAGGGTGACAATATACCGCCTTGACATACTCCTTTTCCTATTTGGAACCAGTCTGTTGTTCATGTCCAGTTCTAACTGTTGCTTCCTGACCTGCATATAGGTCAGGTGGTCTGGTATTCCCATCTCTTTCAGAATTTTCCACAGTTTATTGTGATCCACACAATCAAAGGCTTTGGCATACATAGTCAGTAAAGCAGAAACAGATGTTTTTCTGGAACTCTCTTGCTTTTTCAGTGGTCCAGTGGATGCTGGCAATTTGATCTCTGGTTCCTCTGCCTTTTCTAAAACCAACGTGAACATCTGGAAGTTCACAGTTCATGTATTGCTGAAGCATGGCTTTGAGAATTTTGAGCATTACTTTACTAGTGTGTGAGATGAGTGCAATTGTGTGGTAGCTTGATTATTCTTTGGGATTGCCTTTCTTTGGGATTGGAATGAAAACTTGCCTTTTCCAGTCCTGTGGCCACTGCTGAGTTTTCCAAATTTGCTGGCATATTTAGTGCAGCACTTTCACAGCATCATCTTTCAGGATTTGAAATAGTTAATTAGTGAGTGTTAAATAAGTGGAGGACTAAAATAAGAAGTTAACCATGGCTAATTCATCTCAATGTATGACAAAAACCACTGCAATAATGTAAAGTAATTAGCCTCCAACTAATAAAAATAAATGAAAAAAATAAAAAAAAAGGAAATGATTTCAACGTATGTTATAGTATGTATGTACAGTAACCAAAAAAAAAATAAAATAAAATAAGAAGTTGAGAAAATTAAGAACTTCCTGTGTTTCCTTCTGTATTCTGGAGTTGCACTGTCTAATACAGTAAACACTCAGCTACATGTAGATTTTGATCACTTGAAATATGATAGTCGCAATTGAAATGTGCTGCAAGTGTAAAATTACACACCAGATTTAGTAGAAATAGCATGGAGATGATTAAAAGATAATTTAAATAGATGATCTGTTGATACTGTTTTGGATATATTGGGTTAAATATATTAAAATTGTCACCTATTTCTTTTTACTTTTTTAACATGGTTACTAGATAATATTACTGTGACACATATTACATTTCTTTTGCATGACATTGTTTTAAAGGGCCAAACACCAAGCACTGTGCTATGTGTGTAGTTGATGCCCAGTAAATATTTGTTTATTGATTGACCAGTCTTAGACTTCTAAACTTCCAGGATCCTAGCTCCTTGTGCACAATTTTAAACAGATTAGAACAACATATTTGGGCCAGGAAAACAAGTAGGCTGTCATGAAAATTAAGTAGAATTACTTTTTAGGCATCTTTTCGAATTAAATTTTTTCTTGGAGCTACATACATGGATGAATCTTGAAAAATATCCTAAATGAAAGAAACCTGTCACAAAAAGTCATACTGTATGATTCTGTTTTTTAATGAAATGAAATGCTCAGTATAGGCAAATCCATAGAAAAAAGAAAATAGATTAGTAGTTACCCAAAGCCTGGGAGTGAGAGAGAATGGGGAATAAGGGTTTCTTTTTGGCATGATGAAAATGTTCTAGAATTAAGATAATTGTGATGATTGCACATCTCTGTAAATGAGACTACTGAATTACACACTTAAAGAGGATGAATTTTATGGTATGTGAATTACATCTCAACAATAAATCTGTTACTTAAAAAATCAAGGGCAAAATAGAAAGGACAAGCTTATTTTTTACCCATCAATAATTCAAAATAATTACTTAAATAATAGCATATGTTACTAATAAATAACATACAATTACTTTAAACATCCAGATTCCAGATAATCAGTATATGTATAATGTTTTCTATAAGGCCTGAAGAAAATGAATTAAACAGACTCTTTTAAACAGCTAATGGTATTTAAAAAAAAAATACTGATGATGGTTAATATATATATGTATTACATCTGCTTGCATAATTATATTTTATTAATGTGACTATGAAAACTTAAAAAATCCATAATAGCATATTATTTCTTTTGTTATGAAGGATTTATATAAGTCCCTGAAAATACTGTCTGCAGAACTGGTGCCTTGGCATAATTTAAAGAAGCAGGATGAAAATGAAGGTGTCAGAGTTGAACATCTGTTGTTTATAGTAGATACCATGTTAGAAGAAGTTGAAAATAAGGCAAAGGTAATACTACCCAGTACTTATATAGATATTCACATTTTAATGTGAAATTAATGATATGGATACAGATATTCTACTATAACTCTTTCTCTTTTTAAAGTTTTTATTAAAGATTTGGAATAATTTTAAGATGTAAACTTTTTCTTCCTCTCTTTTGGGCAGGACAGTAATATGCCAGACCTCCACATTTTGCAAGCTATTGTTTCTCACTTCCAAAAATTATTTGATGTTCCTTCTTTAACTGGAGTCTATCCTCGAATGAATGAAGTTTATACTAGGCTTGGAGAATTGAACAATGCTGTGAGAAACCTCCAAGAACTCTTAGAACTAGGTAATGACCCATTTTCATTTTTGGCCCCCCACTTAATAGTGATTATTAAAGTCTGACTCTCATGTAAATCCATGGCTAATTCATTTCAATGTATGACAAAAACCACTGCAATGATGTAAAGTAATTAGCCTCCAACTAATAAAAATAAATGAAAAAAAAAAAAAAAGTCTGACTCTGCGATCCCATGGACTGTAACCCACCAGGCTCCTCTGTCCATGGAATTCTCCGGGCAAGAATACTGGAGTGGGTAGCCATTTCCTTCTCCAGGGGATCTTCCCGATTCAGGGATTGAACCTGGGTCTCCTGCATTGCAGGCCGATTCTTTACTGTCTGAGCCACCAGGGAGGCCCCATTAATAAATCAACAAAAAGTAGGTAAAAAATTTAGGGTAACAGAAACATAGCATTTGATTTAATAATTTTTAAAATTCCCTTAAAATTTTCTGTCCTTTTATTTCTCTTTTGCAGATAGTTCATCCTCATTGTGTGTGCTGGTAAGCACAGTTGGAAAATTGTGTAGGCTGATTAATGAAGATGTGAATGAAAAGATTATGCAGGTATTAGGACCTGAAGACCTTCAAAGGTATTTATTTTAAAAAGGTTGCAAAGTATTGTCCAGAATGTTTGGAATGGTAAAATTAAAGATTTTCAAAACTCCATCAGTTATTTACCTTTCCTGTTTGGAATAGCATTTTAAAAAATAATCTCACACCTTAGGAATGGAGAGAATATCAAATATTTTCAAGATAAAAGTAGATTCTGGGGTCTGTAGGTCTACATAGGGTGGGTCAGGACTCCAGCATTTTTGCTATAATCTTATTCCCAAGGGAAATTATAATTGGAGAAAGTCAAACTTTGATAGCAACTTCATGTTAATTCAGAATATATAAATAAGTCCAATTTTTAGCAGATTACCATAGATCACTGAATAATCACTAAGAGTATGTGTATTATTTGATAAGATAATAAGGATTTCTTTTTTATCTTTATTTTTTCCATTTACTTTTATTAGTTGGAGGCTAATTACTTTACAATATTGTAGTGGTAGGGATTTCTTTTTTAAGGCTAGGCATCTCCAACATAAAACCTAATTTTTTTTTTTAATGTCAAAACGTTATAGCTGTACTCTTCCTCCCTCCTCCCTCAGATTTTATACTGCATCATAAGGGAAGTATATGTTCCATACGTTCTGCAAGTTTTCCAAGAGGAACCCTAACCTAATCTGACACTTGAGGTTTCTGATACTTGATGATTTTAAAAGGAACGTATGTCTCACTATTGGTATTTTTCTCCTTCCCAGTTTTACAGATTACTGATACTTATTCTTAATGTTTAATAGAATACAGGATATGAAAGTCAACTATTTTTAGAAAACATGGTCTCTTAAAGACTCCTTAAGCTAAATGGAAAGTTCCCATATTAGAAATGTTAGATAGATTTAACCTTAGAACAGATGATTATACTGCTAGTAGATTTTTTTGTTTTGTTTTAGAAAAGTATTACTAGGTGAACAAAGAGAAGGAAAGATTGCAGTAAATAGTCATTAAATTTGTATTTAAATTAGCAGGACAGTTTCTTTCTGTTTTGAAATGTTCTATGTCCAATCAAATGTAAGAATCCTAAGTCAGAAATTCAGTATAAATTGTGCTTTTTTTTTTTAAAGCATTATCCGCAAATTGGAAGAACATGAGGAATTTTTCCCAGCATTTCAGGCATTTACTAATGATCTACTCAAAATCTTAGGTAAGATTTTTGTCAGAGGTGGATTTTGAGTCTCAGGATGTCATTGGGTTTGAGGAAAAAGTGTTCCTTAGTCACTCTATTAGTGTTTTTACCTAGAGTGGTAGAAAGTGTCTGGAAACCACTAATAGTTCTGAAAACAAACTTCTATTGGGGTTAATCTACAGAACAACAGAGAAACACATATTCTTTAAGGAGCTGGGGGCTGCCTTTGTTTTAGGACTTTAAAATGAGAAATGATGTTATTCTGGCTAGGCCCACTTTAAGCCTGACTGTCATTGGATAAAGAGAAATGTCTGTAGAATTTATGATCTTGATAGGTGTCTTTTTAATTTTTCTTCTTCCTCCTCCTCCTCTTCTTTTCTTTTTTTAAAAAAGATAGTTCCTACCTACTCTTTTTTTAAAATCTAATTTGCGCAGATGATGAGAAATAATATAAACATCTGTAGAAAGGAGATAAATTTATAAGTTTGTGGAAGGGAAGAGACACATTTTCACTCTTGGTCAGATTGAGGGCTTTAAGGGGGAAAAAAATATAATTAGCTTAGGAATCATAGGCAAAATAAAAACCCACATCACTTACTTTAAGTGTGATTTATTATGGCTATAAAAATAATTAATCTTACCATTAAGAACACTTTTTAGGGAATTCCTGATGGTCCAGTGGCTAGGACTATGTGTGTTCATTGTTGAGAGTGTAGGTTCATCCTTGGTAGGGGAGCTAAGATTCTCCAAAACCCAACAAAACAAAATCACTTTTTATTTTTAAAAAGGTTACAGTGATTTATTTACTTCATTAATTCATTATGATTAATGAATTTTTTTTCTGTGTAGCTCATTTGAAGCTGACAGTTTTTTTTTGTTTTTTAAATAATGACTCTTTGACATAGGAAATTAGAAGAGGAGATAAGGTTTGGTAGAAGATAAAGAAATGAGTAAGTTAAAATTTGGTAAGAAGATGAATAAATGAAAGGCATATCTGACTGGAGTATATAGCCTTGTTGAACATACATTTTTGTGGCCAATTTTATGTAGACTGGAAGCAACGGAGACAGTGAATGTACTTTATTCATGCTCATACCTTTGAAAAGATCATGGCAAGGGAAGACATAATTTGAAAGTTTAACTTGAGATTTGAAAATATATAAATGTATTTATTGCCTTGTATCTCAAAGAGCTTTGTTTCCTGCAATATGATTTTACTTGCTTTGAGGTAGTGATTAACAGTGAGTTTCTTGTCATTAAAAAACATTTACTAGGTGTGCTAGTAACACTTATTTCATAATCCTTGTATAGAAACTTCCTCTCAAATATCATACTCAGCATGGTTCATGTGGGATCATTTGCTTTAATATACAGTGTTCATGTGCTGTTCGGTCACAGTTGAAATTCTGGAATAAATATTAACATTTCAGAAGTTAAATCAGTTTTGGCAAACATGACTATTTTTATTATTACTAGATGCGAGGTGGCTTAGTGATAAAGAATCCACCTGTCAGTGCTGGAGATATGGGTTCGATCCCTGGGTTGGGAAGATCCCCTGGAGAAGGAAATGGCAACCCACTCCAGTATTCTTGCCTGGGAAATCCCATGGACAGAGGAGCCTGGGGGGCTACAGTCCATGGGGTCGCAGAGTCAGACACAACTTAGCAACTAAACAACAAACAACAGCAACAGATGTCATATTATGCATCTAGAACTACAGAGTGGATTACTGAATATCAGCTATGGCGAAGGAATTCCTTTTTTTCTCATGTAAGTGGTGTGATTAGTTGAGAAAATTCTCCTATCAACCAAGGTCCTTCTCTGTGAGGTTTATTTATAAGGCAGATTTCTTTCCTAGGGAGAAAACAGGTGTGATTTTAGAATGCGGATCATGGAATAACTTGATCTTTGTACCTTACTTACTACAGTGTAATTCTCAGCTGTGGATTTGCTCGTATTCTTTTCCTTTCTTGTATCGTCTGTGTTCCGACAGAAGAGATCCCTAAGTCTTTAGATGGAGGCCCAGGAAAGAGAAAGGGCCTCTTCTAGGGGTTTCACCATGTAAGCTCACCCATATATTAGTTAAAGAGGCAGTAACATAATGTCATAAATATGGCGAGTAGGATCTGTTGTTAAGAGCACACTGCTAATGAGATTAATATCAGAGTCAGAAGATGCTTTTGTAGGTAGCTTTTACAAACAAATGTCCTGTGAATCAGTGATACACTTTTAGAGAAAAATTTCATGTGCTTGAAAGCACTAGTGATGTTGCCTTTGTGTTTGAGGTTTGCCTTTGCACAGAGATTATCATTTCATCTGAGCCTAACACTGGATGAAGCTACTGTTTTATTGTTGTTTTTCTGTTACAGAAATTGATGACTTGGATGCCATTGTACCTGCAGTAAGGAAATTAAAAATACTTTCATACTGAAAACAAATCAAATCATTTTTACTGTGTAAATTGCATTCTTAACATCCTAAGTATTTTGTAGGATCTTACTCTGAGACATGGGTTATAAAATGTACTTACCTCAAAATTTACCCCCTTCTTTCTATTGAGGCCTCATCTGTATAATTTTTATTGACTTTGAGATTCTTTTATAGAAAACAATTGCTAAGTTTAATTAAGACATTAACTTTAGATCCTTGAATAATTCTTAAGCAGTTCTTGAGTACTTAAAATTTAAGATTGTTTTAAAGTACAGTGTGTGAATAAGAGAGAAACTCAGGGAGAGATAATGCAAGTAATAGAAAGGTTGCATTTAAGTTCAGAGTTTAGTGACCTTTTTGGTTCTAGGAACAAGGAATGCCAATGTCTGTCTTTATCCAGCCAGCAGGAAGCTATTGTTTTCCTGGCAAGGAAATGGCACATTCTATTAAGATATCCCTCATAACATTTGCCCTTTCAGAGCAGAAGGAACAAAAGGAAGAAGGAAAAAAAAATTTTCCTGTTAGGGTAGGAAAGAATTATGAGGTAAAATAGATGAGTAGGTGTTAAGTCTCTCATTTTAAAAAGTGTCTTTTTTACTATTTTCATGTGATGTACCTTTTATAAGGGCATGGAATCTTAAATAAAATTTTGTAAAGAATTTCCAAATGTAAGTGTTCTCAGTGACTTATTTGTATTCCTCATAAATAATGAGTTATATTCTCTTACTAGTCTGAGCCTTCCTTGGGCAGCTGGTTCACCCTTGCTACATTTTCTGTAAGAGTAGCTTTCTTGCCACTTTCTACATATTCTCTATTCTCAGTATTCATTCTGATTTTCTTAAAGGATAACTGTTCTGCTTCACATCCATGAGTACAGATCACTTTGGATTGCTGCTGCTCCCTTACTCCCTACCCCCACTTTTATAACTTCTCAGTTATTCTTGTTCATTGTCATATAGAATATTATGAAGATTTCCAGGAAGCAGCATAGTGGGATGCAGAGAATAAATGTCAAAATATAAGCACTCAGATCCTTAGTGGGGTGACCATAGGGATTAGAAGTAAGGTAATATCTTAGGTTTTTTTAGATTTAAAATTATTTGTTTTGTTTGCCTGCAATTACATTTCTTAACACTAGCCCACGATTTGTGAAAAAACTTGTGTCTTTGAGGGTTGGGTAGAAAAAGTATTTGGATATTCAGTAATATATATGCTCTTAGTTAATTAGAACTCCAAGAAATTGTTGTGAGCCAGTTTGGAAATCCAGTGACTTTTGAAAAGAAGAAATACAATTTTTTTAATTGCAGCATAGTTGATTTACAATTGTGTTAGTTTCTGGTGTAGCAAAATGATTCAGTTTTATGTGTGTGTTTGTATGTGTATACACACATTCTTTTTCATCTTCTTTCCCATTATGGTTTATTATGGGCTTCCCTGGTAGCTCAGATGGTAAAGAATCTGCCTGCAATGTGGGAGACCTGGGTTTGATCTCTGGATTGGGAGGATTCCCTGGAGGAGGGCATGGCAACCCACTCCAGTATTCTTGCCTAGAGAATCCACCAGGACAAAGGAGCCTGGCAGACTACAATTCATGGGGTTGCAAAGACATGAGTGTTTACAATTATAATAGTTTATTTTATTGTAAAAGTTTATGTAATTTACAATAGTTGATTTACAGTTGTGTTAGTTTCTGGTATAGCAAAATGATTCAGTTTTATGTGTGTGTGTGTGCATGTGTATACACACATTCTTTTTCATATTCTTTTCCATTATGGTTTATTGTAGGACACCAAATATAGTTTCTGTGCTATACAGTAGGACCTTGTTGTTTATCTGTTTTATATATAGTAGTTTGTATCTGCTAATCCCGAACTCTTAATTTATCCTTCCCCTACTCCCTTTTCCCTCTGGTAACCATGAGTTTGTTTTCTGTGTCTGTAAGTCTGTTTCATAAATAAGTTATTTATGTCATATTTTAGAGTTCACATACAAGTGATATCATATGGTATTTGTCTTTCTTTTTCTGACTTACTTCACTTAGTATGATAGTCTCTAGGTCCCTCCATGTTGCTGCAAATGGCATTATTTAATTCTTTTTTATGGCTGAGCAATATTCCATTGTATATATGTACCACATCTTCTCTATGTGTTCCTCTGTTGGTGGGTATTTAGGTTGCTTCCATGTCTTGGCTATTATAAATAGTGCTGGTATGAACATTGGGATGCATGTATCATTTTGAATTATCATTTTCTCTCTCTATATGCTCAGGAGTGGAATTGCTGGATCATATGGCAACTCTAATCTTAGTTTTTTAAGGAATCTCCATGCCGTTTTCCATAGCGGCTGCACCAGTTTACATTCCCACCAACAGCGTAGGGAGTTTCCTTTTCTCCACATCCTCTCCAGCATTTGTTATTTGTAGACTTTTTAATGATGGGCATTCTGACTGGTGTGAGGTGGTACCTGACTGTAGTTTTGATTTGCAGATAAGAAGTATAATTTAAAAATTATTTTATCAGAATTTTGTCAGCTAGTTTAAGAGAGCCTGTGGTTAACTCTTAGTTTAAAACAGGAGTTTTAAAACTCTTCCTCAAAAGCCTAGGCATTTTTTTTGAGGGCCACTGAGAGGGATGGTAGCACTACTGGGGAGAACATTAGGCCCTCTCTATCAGATCTACTTTTATCCTGGCAATTCTACTTTTATCCAGTTGTAATTATTTAAAGTATAAGTACTGCAACCATTGATTGGCTCTTGATTTTTTACCATTTTATGGATGTATAATTGACATATAATAAATTGTACATAAACTATTGTTGTTGTTCAGGCGCTCAGTCATGTCTGACTCTTTGCAACCTCATGGACTATAGCATGCCAGGCTTCCCTGTCCTTCACTGTCTGCTGGAGTTTGCTCAGATTCATGTCCATTGAGTCAGTGATGCCATCCAATCATCTCATCCTCTGTCATCCCCTTCTCCTCCTGCCTTCAATCTTTCCCAGCATCAGGGTCTTTTTCAATAAGTCAGCTCTTCGCATCAGGTGGCCAAAGTATTGGAGGTTCAGCTTCAGCATTAATCCTTCAATGAATATTCAGAGTTTGATTTCCTTCAGGATTGACTGGTTTCATCTCCTTGCAGTCCAAGGGACTGTCAGGAGTCTTCTCCAACATGACAGTTCAAAAGCATCAATTCTTTAGCGCTCAACCTTCTTTATAGTCCAACTCACATCCATACATGACTACTGGAAAACGCATAGCTTTGACTAGACGGACCTTTGTCAGCAAAGCAATATCTCTGCTTTTTAATATGCTGTCTAGGTTTGTCATAGCTTTACTTCCAAGGAGCAAGCGTCTTTTAATTTCATGGCTGCAGTGATTTTGGAGCCCCCCAAAATAAAATCTATCACTGTTACAATTTGATAAATCCTGATATACATATACGTCTGTGAAACCATCAAAATAGTATACCTATTGTTCCAAGAGTTATTTCTTTGCCCTTCATGACCCCTCCCTATTCCTATCCTTAGGCAATAGCTGATCTGCTTTCCATCATTATAGACTAGTTTGCATGTGACAGGATTTTATATAAATGGAATCATGCCATATGTTCTCATTTTATCTGGCTTCTTCCACTCAGCATAATTAATTTGTGATTTTTTTGCATGTTGTTGCATTTATTAACTGTCCATTCCTTTTTATTGCTGTGTCGTATTCCATTGTATGAAGATACCACAATTTGCCTATCCATTCATCTGTTGGTGGAAATTTAGGTTATTTCCAATTTTTGACTACTACAAATTTCATAGTAGTGTTCAGGTCTTCATATGGACATATACCTGATATCCAGTGACTTGAAAACTGTCATATTTTTGTTTCATTGATACAGGTGGAAGTGTAAATTTGCTTTCTGCTAATCCTGGTTAAAAGTAAAGTATCTGAAAACATGTAGTGTTTCTTATGTTGTCTTTCATTTTTTTTTAGTTGTATTGTACTGTAGTCAGAGAATATGGTCTTTTGGTATTGAATCTTTGGAATTCATTGATATTTTCTTTGTGACTTTAATCTGATGAATTTCCACATATTCCACATGTGCTTTAAAAAGTCTAATCTCTAATATATACATATATATGTGTGTATATATATGTAGTGTTATTAATATATTATTTAAATCAACTTCACTTCTATCATTTTTTTTGTCTGCTTGATTTAGTTTATGGGAAATTCTGAAATCCCTGAACTTGTCAAATTTTGTTTTTTTATAAGTACTTTAAGAAGTACTTTGGCATGTTTTATAAGTACTTATAAATTCATAGTCAATAATATCTTCTTGATTAATATCTCTTCATTGCTATATATGCTTTTACCTTGAATGTAGTTTTGTCCTTTTACTTAATAGTTGCTGGATATTCTTTTCCTTTTTTCTTCTTATTTCACTAATTGTTTTTTATATGTTATAAAATACAACACATATACTAAGTACAGTAAAAACCATAAATTTCAAGTATAATAATGATTATAAAGTGAACACCCATGCAACATCGAAGAAATAGAACATCACCAGCACTCCGAAAGGCCTTCCCCATACACCATATGTGTCTTCCCCCAAGAGATAATCATTAGCTTGGCTTATGGTAATCATTTACTTGTTTTTTTTTTTTTAATAGTTTTGCCAGTTTTGTGTGTATGCCTAAACCAAGATAATTGAGTTTTGCTGGTTTTGAGCTTTATAAAAATAGAATCATGCTGTATGTTCTTCTAAATTCTTTTGTTCAACATTATGTTTGTATTGTTCATCTATATTGTTTTATGTAGGTCCAGGTCATTTGTTTTCATTGGTGTCTGGTATTCTTCTATGAATGTTCCATAATCCATTTGTTTGTTGTTCTAGGGATTGGCATTTGGGTTGCTTCCAGTTCTTGGCTATTGTGAGCTACTGCTGTGAACATTCTTGTACATGTATCCTTGTTCACTTGTGTGCAGGTTTTATAGAATCAATATCTAAGA